TCTAAAGTGATTCTACTTTTTGGTGATTTATTAAAGTTAATTAAACCTCTTTCAATTGCCTTTTGAAGCGACAGTTGCATCTTAACCAGTGCTTCCATTTTTATTTAAATTACAATAATAAATTCAATGAACAAAAAGAGATCAGTTACCTAACTATTCAAAAAAATCTAATGAAATCCTATATTTTATCACAATAATAAACATCAATTGAATATTATACAAAATAATTAAATATTTACAAAATTATTACACTCGCATTCCTTACACTAAACAATTCGAAAGTCTTTTTCATTATATATCCTTTATGTATCTATGTTCTTCTATAGAAGTAATTAAGTTATAAGTTGCAAATCATCAATAATACACCACTGTACTTACAGTTTATGCACTCTCACAATCACTATTATGACGACGCGTTACTATTTTTGCTGTCGTCCACCACAAGGAGTTGTTTTGTCGCGTTCGGAGATGTCACAGGAATCGTGATCGCAGCTTACTTACATACACCCACCAAAAGGCGCTCAAAACGCTGGATGACTCGATGACGTTATCAATTCCAAATTTTGCGTTATATTATTTTCTTCTGATTCCCCGGATAGAGAAATGCAATTTCGACATGCAGCACTATCGGCATGCCACCATTGCCTGCTAACTTTGACTTACTCGGACAAACTTTGAATCCGTTACTTTTCTTCTTGGTACGCGAGTATTATATAACTTTATTGGTCTTATCCGGTTCACTATGGACCATTTGTTTTTTTCGATAGCTTGATGAACTGTTATTTGTACTTTAAATAAAAAACCAAAAGAACTTGTACTGGAACTATATTTATCAAGAAGACATATTTTTTAATAACAAGTTGATTGCCATGGTAACAACCCTACACCTTTTTAATACATTCTTTTTAAGGAGTCTAGAAAAGAGGTTGACACACTATAATGATAAGTTATAACGTGAACTAACTAACTAACTAACTAGGTTATAGCTACGACTACGGCTACGTCCATGAGTTAGGCGGTCGCGCCCCAGGCCTTCGAATGGAATCAAATCAAATCTAATAGGGAGAATGGGACCACCACGCGGACTTTTAGCATATTGGTGGGGATAAATTACTGCAAATGCAACCGGGATAATGGCTTAACTTGCCTTCTAAAGCACGGAGGGATTCGAGACAATAATTTTTTGGTCACAATACAATACAGCAATATTGGGGCCTAACAACACTGCTTGGGCCTAGGCCTATCTTATGGACGGTTAAGGAGGATTGGCCATAACCCTCCAAGCTGGCCTATGCGAATTGGAGGGTTTTAACGACTACAAATGCAGCCGGGACCAACGGCTTGTGTCTGCCGAAGCACGACGTAGTTCGCGATAATATTTTTTGGCTATCCGACCTATAACGGACCCTTGCGAGAGTTGCTTAACAAAAAAGATCGTGGAACCCGGAGCTTATCCACTACGCCACTGAGCTACTCGGTAATTATGTATAGTAAAAGATATACAGACAAATTATACAAAAAACATTGTGAGCTTAGTCAATTGATTTATTTGCTCTACTGGACACGGTCTATGCGGTAAAATCATACTATAAATAAACCATGGCGGTTGGTAACACATTCCCTTATTCATTAAGGAACTTTCCTTAATAAAAAATATATATATTTTAGCTGAGTCCTTCAGCCCTTGAGAAATGTTCAGAAACACTAGATACAACGTAGGTAATAAATAATATTTATGGTATTTAACGATTAATTTTTTAATCAGAGGATTAATTTTCACTCAAGGTCAACGAAACAATATCTCGAATAGAAACAAGAGTTGATTTACAATGGCAATGTTCTAATAATAACTTTATATAAATCCATTGCTTACAAACAAGTGACATTAGGTTATCTAGGGTATGATTATAAAGACTGACTATGGATGTTCAAAATAAAATATATATAAAAAATTTAATCCGAATCGATTTTGATAAATACGTGATAGTTTACAAAAACCTATTCATTGACATTTTAAAAAGTATGTAATTCGCACCACCTACGAATTAACACGACATCTGTGGGCATATTCTTCTTGTCCTCAACCGAAAATTAGGTAAATTTCGGATATTACAAAAAGGAAAGGTTTTATTGCTTGTATATTTGTTTATATGTTTGTTTGCATCGAATAGGCTCCGAAACTACTAGAACGATTTAAAAAATTCTTTAGCCACGTAGGTTATAATTTACCCGTGCGAAGTCGCGAGGAAACAGCTAGTAGTTATTATAATTTTGTTCATATCAGTGAAGATTGTCTGCGCATCAAAGACTGTATAGGGGTGTAGACAACGTTTTTATATTTTCATTTTATAGATATACATGTAATATATCTTAAAAAAATATTTGAAAAAAGTTTCTTTCATATATTAAGTTAAAATCTAAAAATAAATTTATTTATCAAAATTTCCCGCGATATCGCCACTTCTGTCATGGCATCGCTATGACGTCACGGCCCTCAGCAAACTAATATCGTTCTACATAGCTACTACAACTAATATCGTTCTACATAGAACGATATTAGTTTTCTACATTCGCATAAGGTTGAATTCTCTGTGTTCAGCTATGAATAAAAGAGGCGTGACGTCAGATAATTTTTACTGTCCCGTGACAACGAGTATATTAGTTTTTATAATCAATTTAAGCAATATTATAAATATAGTAAGCATAAAAATGTGATTATCGATAATAGTATATTAAAACTACCAGAAAAAAAATATGTCGTTTTTTTCGTTTACTATCTACAGCCGTTTTGATAAGTAATTAAGTATCTTAAGCACTTGCACTATAGAAATTTATAAAGTTAAACCGGACTAGTAACCAAAACTATAAGATAGCGATAACTTGAAACTGGCGTGCAAGTGAAATCCATCAAAGAATTATTTTTTGATAATATTTAACTTTTTTAAAGAAATAATTACATAATAACACTTTTATGATTACTTATTGGGCTGCGTTTAACATTCAGTTAAAAAAACTTACAACAAAATACTATAATTACTTTGACACACCCCACAAAATGACTAAGTAATCAAGTAATTAAATTTAATCAACTATTATCAATATTTTTATCAATAGTAGTCGTTGTGTAGTAGTTAAAAGATAAATATGTAGTTATATTATTAGGTGATTCAGTTACCATGGAGAATGAAATTAAAATTATTGTATCTGGGGGCTAATCAAAGACGTTCGGCAGTAAGTAATGTGATTTTGCCTACATTTGTTACAATCTTATCTTTAAATTTATAATTTGCTACGTAAACTTATATAAAACCTTAGGCATCGATTTTGAGAAAAAATCAAGAATACTAAAAAGAATATTACTTTGCAAATTGAAAGCAGTGGCCTTCTAAAATATCTTGGTTTCTTAGATTTCAACGAGCACAAATTATTTTGCCTACCTATTTATCATCTCAGATTTGTATTAAAGATATCAATTGTAATCTTAGTAATAGTTAGTCAAATTCAAAATAATCTTTATTCAAAGACACTTCTTAAAAGTTAGACTTCAAAGACTTTTGAATCGTCTAACATTTTTTTCCCTACTACTCGTTCAGGACATCTTTTGACTAATAAGAAGAACGAGCAAGAAATTCACCAGCTCTAATGGGAGTCTAACATTCACAAAAAACATGTCATTATCAGATCAATACATTATAAATAGAAAATAAGAACTATAATCTTATAATGTTAACATAATAATTTAATAATAATGCCAACAAGATATTTTTTAAGTCATACTCGTAATGAGTTTCGAAGAAATCATCTATACAGTTAAAGTGAAAACATCATATTGACGACGATTTATTTAAGGCGTAGTAATAGGCTAACCCTAGTCCCCAAAAAAGTTTGAGATCACCTGTAAGTTGGCCAATCTATTCTTTTTGCGGCCAAGGTCATGTGAAGTAGGAACTGACACACTATTTTCTTTAAGAGATCCTTATTTCTTAAAAAATATTAAATACCCAAAAACAAATGAGTTGATACAATTTTGTGTAAATATCACGGCAAGAATATCTTAGAAGATAATTCTTAAAAATTCTTAGCTACCAGATACCCTGAATGATTCGGATTTTATCTGGCTTAGTTAAACAAAATTCTTATCGCAGTGGGGGGAACGTAACCTAATGAAAGATGTAACCCTCAGAAGTCCCCCGGCTGCCATGATAATATTGTTTAGCCAAGCCATAATATTTTTATTATATCCTTTATTTTTGTTGCCAATTTTTTTTTGTTTTTATTTTATTCCCGTTTACTGACCAGTAAACGTATGTATATAAAGTGTATACCTAATTTGGAATATAGTCATCAAAACTTTTTTTTAATTTGATATCAATATTGCTATAATGGATAGCAATATCCATATTGCTATAGTATATTTACATTATTTTTTGTACATACATTTTTTGTGAATTTTACATTTTATTATTTCGTATTTTTATAAATATCCACCATATTGAATATTAAAAAAAGAATATAGCCAGTGTCACTTTCTAATCACCCTATACATTAACAACGTTTCTAATGATTACAAGTATTTCAAAACTTATGGTAGAATTAAGAAACTCACTTACCTATACATATACACATTAAACACAAAAACACTTCTTTTTTGACAGTCGTGTAATAAAAATCTCACTTATATACATTTATCCTAAACACAATACATTCGTTTTTGGGTCGAGTCGAGCACAGAGTTGTCACATCTTAGAGATTCAATCAATCAAAATCGCATATTTATATGATAAATCCTAAGAACGATTTGAAATGTTTTAATTAAGATTTTATTTTATTTAAACCTCTATGCTTGTGCTGAATCTCGAGTTCGAGGCTCATTTTACAGAATAGTGAAGCTGATATATCATATATATTCAATGTAGAGTTTTTTCTTACGTCGTAAAAACTTTTTTCATGATTTCACTTTCTTATTTTTCTAATTCTTCTATAATTTAATTACCACTTACCGATGCCGTAGAATAATAGAAAATCCGTTTCATGAACTGACTCTTCGAACGAAGAGTCGTCGATTTTAACAACATCTCAAACGATAATACGTCGCGTTAATAAAATATAATGATAAGTCCACACAGTCTTCCGTCCAGTTCGAGCTTCCCTTGTAATCTGTTTAAATTAAACTGCATGCCAAATAATACGAAGCTCCTTAGAGAAAATACAACAATCGATATACGTTTATCAGTTCGGTGATAATGAAATTGTTTATGTACAAGTAACCCATTTATTAATTCATAGTTCGCTCAAAAATTAAGATACGAGTATTTTAGGCGTTGAAAATAAATATTTAAATTACCTATGCGTTGCCTCTAATATAGTTTACTTAAAATTAATAAAATTCTTTACACTCATATTTTTTTTAAATAAATCATCTGTATGTTGTTTAAGTTTCATTTTCTGTTCATTTCAAGATTCAGTTATTCAAAAATATATTAATGTAGGGGTAGCTAACAACCTACAGGCATTATTCTGTCCTAAAGAAATTATGCCTACTCCATAAATAATTTCTTTGAGTACCTAATGAATTAATAAAGATATCATGAAAGAGCCAAGTCATTTCAATTGGAGTACTTGTTCAAGAGATATTTAATTTATTTATATGTTCATGAAAATTCTATTGAATTCGGTGGAGATTTTGTGTACCCAGGTTGTCAATAGTAACCGCCGACTTAAGTAGAATTATCATGAAAATATTTACGAACCGTCTTGGATATGATTATTTTTTTATGTATTGAAGTAGGTTTTAATTTAAAAAAATATATATATTATTTTTAATGATATCAAAATCTTCATGATAACTTAACCAAAAATCTAATTTCAAAAATAGAACTGACTTCAAACTTTAGAAAATAATAAATTAACAAATTTAGAAAATCGATCTGAAATTTTCAATGATTAGGGGTTAAAGTATGAAATTGCCGTTTTACTGTAATAGGTTCCTTGAATTGACATAGAATCTTCATGGTTTGAGGTTTTCGAAAGAAACTTTTTTCACATGGTTTCTATGATGTTCTTCTTTTAAAAAATTTGAATATCGACTTTCAATTGTTTTTGTTATTCAAATTAGACAGTAAGATGGATACTGCGAAAATTCGAGTGATTTTTGAATACGAGTTTCGACGCGGAAGTAACGCGGCAGAAACAGTCCGCAATATGAATGTTGCGTTTGGAGAGGGGTCTGCTAATGAACGCACCGTGCGATTTTGTTTTAAACGCTTTCGTGATGGAAACTTCGACTTGAAAAACGAGCCACGAGGAAGACCGCCCACACTGGTGAATAACGATGAATTAAAAGAGATGGTGGAAGCCGATCCTAGTCAAACTACCCAGGAATTAGTGGCATAGTTTAACGTTACCTTACCCACAATATTGACTCATTTGCGTCAAATCAATAAAATAAAGAAATACGAAAAATGGGTGCCTCATGATCATACCAATAAAAAGGTAATGGTAACTGTTTGGTGGTCTCAGCATGGTGTTATTTATTTCACTATAGTTTTCTCCGATTTGGTCAAGCAATAACGGCAAATGTCTATTGTGCCAAACTCCGAACAATTTTGGCAAAAAATACAGCACGAGAAACCGTTTTGACCCTTCAGAAACTGCAGTTAGAAACCATTCGCCAGACCTTGCTCCAACGAACTACCATTTTTTGGTGATTTGGACAATTATCTACGTGACAAGAAGTTTTCTTCCCAGGAGGTAGTCTAGCTCCTGATATAGATAGTTCTATCGTAAAGGCATAAATAACCTTTCTATTGGATGGCAGTATTGTATAGATCAGAGATTCCCAAACAATTTATGTCGTCTTATTTTTAGCATTTTTTGTTTCTTATCCCATACTCGGTTAGTTTATCATTTAATTTAACATATAGGTACACATTGCATTGCGTATATTGTACCTATATGTACTTAGTTACTTATAATATTTAATGGAATTAAACATACCTATAAAATTTTCTATTATAAAATTTTATATTCTATTATATAAAATTCCAATAATATATCCATATAACATGGCAACTTGCAGCAAGTTTAAATCAAATTTTCTAGTTTCAGGGTGACAAACTTGCACTACCTTTGATACGGTAGTAATGATATTTGGGGCAAGTTTGATTTTCTTTGATTCTTAACCCAGTCATCATCCCTATTTTCTAATTTAAAAGTCTATCGCAATCATTTTGGAATTGTTCAAGTCGAGTACCCGAGTACCTGCTAGGTATTCGAGTCAGTACCTAGGAAAATTATCATTACTACCGTATCAAAGGTAGTGCAAGTTTGCAACCCTGAAACTAGCAAGTTTGATTTAAACTTGCTGCAAGTTGCCAAGTTTAAATTGCTATCTGCTCACCCTATCTATGAATTGCGTTGTTATCTATCAAAATCCGTTGCGTAGTTTTAAAGATTTAAGCATACATAGGGATATGGGGACAGAGAAAGAGGCTTTGTTTTATACTATGTAGTGATTACAGAGTAAAATCTCCAAAAATTTAAAGTTACGCATAGGATCTTCAATTCAATTCAAACAATCAATTGCAATAACTGATGTATGCATTTAACATCAATTATTGAAATTACAATATTTTTTAGCCATATCAAAATATTATATTATATTATATATCGATATATAAATTAAAGTTAAATATTAATGCTTCGAATGGTTAAAAGTTCGTTGACGTTCTCTTTTTTTTCCTAGGTTTGGTTTTGGTGCCAAAGTCTAATGACTAATGACATAAGTATAGAAATGTTTTCTTAAGGCTAGCGAGACACCATACCGAGAAGTTGTCTTGGTTATTTGAGAATTTGGACGACCCCAAACTGGGGAATATTTTATTACGACTAAAAGTGATGCCGGTAGAGAAAGTCAAAAGTCGAATGCAATATCAATATTAGTTACTAGAAAACAAGGTACTCAGTAATAAGGTGGTTGATATTACGCATCGAATCTCTTTATATCGGCTGTAGATGATAAAAATAGTTTTAGTCGGCCGGCATTAGGATTTTACGTTTTATAGCATTTCCCCAAAATCGACCCATCGGCCTATGATGAGATTAATTAATAATACAGATCCATAATCTCTGCCCCCCGATTATTTTATGAAAAAAATAACGTGAAAATTTGCTGTCTAAACGATACTTTAACTATTTTTCTTCAAAATCAAATAAATTAAATAAGTTAAATAGATTAAATCCTATATGATATATATTTATCAACGCAATCCGTCGATTCACGAATTTTACTAGGTAATGCCACTAAACGATGTATGTTTGCATCTGCCGTTACTTTATTATCAACTGAACGTTTAAATCAACATTTGAACGTTCACATACCAAGGCATTGGAGATTTTTTTCGTAAAAACAATCCCATCAAAAACATAACATGTACAAAAATGCTCAAGTCTCACAAAGCAATTCTTCTGTCGTAAAAAGTTAAAAAATCAACATAAACCAAGTCGATTAAATCAGAACCTGTCCTTCTGTGAGAGTAGCCATCAGTCGCTCTCGAAAGTACCTACCATATATAAATAATGAAGAACTAAGTCAATCAATACACTATTAAGACTAAGGCCTTGACTTTTATGATTATATTGATCGTTACATCTATAGATATAAGGTCTAACGAAGCTCATTTGATAGCATTTGTTTGCCAGCCGTCATTGGTCCACTTTATACACAACACTAATTAATGTAAATAAAAATGCCACTCAGTTATTAAAAATCTAAAAACCAAAAAAACGGAATTAGTATTTAGTAATTTAAGATTTTTCCTTACTTTTTATGCTAAATAATAACGGTGTTCAAAATTTGGAGTCTGTGGGTTTGCTAGAAGTATCTTAGAATTTTGATGATTTATGAGTCAGTCAGTGACAAAATTATGGATTTTTAACTTGCAGTAATTCTGAACTTACTTAAATTTAATTTTATTCAAACATGTGCTTCGTTATATGCTTCCTTCTTGGTCACTGAAATTTTTAGCTTCTATTATACTCCACAACGAATTTATAGGGGTCAAAACTGGCCCGAATGGCTTCGAGCAAAGGATGGTATGGCCGTACCTTGTTTACTTTTTTACTCGACTTGGCGGAGGCACTACCTTGCCCCCCGATTATAATTTTAGGTCCATTTTTATAATTGATCCATTTTCTCTAAACGGCCAATATTAGGCGGTGGTCAATAAAGAGGCTCCACCATAATATAATAAAACAAAAATTAAAAGACCGACTTCAAAAATAATTATCTTAAAGTTGGTTACGGCCGATATAAAATATTTCATCGCAAATCATTCCGTTGCCGTTGAACGATGAATATCAACGACTTTTTGTACATAGCGCATCAACGATAAAAGATGAAACTTCATTATCTACTTTTTAAGACTTAATTGATGAATTTCGGTTAATGTTTTAAGAAAGTTTTAAATTTACAGAGGTAGCTGCAATATCGGCAGCTTCCCCGTCAAGCTTACACAAAGCAACTATACCAGTAACTGTAAATAATTATGATGCAGATGCACTCGTAGATACTGGAAGCTCAATTAGCTTTATTAACGAAGAATTGGCAAAACAACTACAATTAAAAAGAAAGTCTTGTCAGCAAACTATTACACTGGCCTCACTTAATCATACGTCGCCTGTTAACAGTTACTGTAATGCAACTATACAGCTAGATAAACATTCATATGAAAATGCACAACTATTGATTGTACGTTATTTATGCGCTGATATTATACTAGGACATGATTTACTCAAACACCACCGTTCCTTAGAACTACAGTTTGGAGGTTCTAGAGAATCATTAAAAATATGCAATGTTATGGCAGCTATTTTGCCAAACGCTGTTTTATTTTCAAATTTATCGTCCAATGTCACGCCTATTGCTGTCAAATCAAGAAGATATAGCGAGAATGACGAACGTTTTATCAAAGAAGAAATTGATAAACTATTAAAGGACGGAGTAATAGAATCCAGTATGTCACCATGGCGTGCACAAGTATTAGTAACAGGGGGAGGCTCACATCGTAAACGCCTCGTTATTGACTATTCTCGAACCATTAACAAGTTTACAGAACTTGATGCATATCTCTTGCCTAATATTGAAACTATAGTGTCAAAAATAGCTTAAAACAAATACTTTAGCCAAATAGATCTTAAAAGTGCCTATCATCAGATACCGATTCTACATAGAGAAAGACCTTATACAGCATTTGAAGCATGTGGAAATTTGTATCAATTTACACGCATACCTTTTGGAGTCACAAATGGAGTATCGGCTTTCCAACGAACAATGCAATATGTCATTACTACTGAGAATCTTAAAGATACATACGCATATCTTGATGACGTCACAGTTTGTGGAAGGGACAAAAATGAGCATGATGCAAATTTAGATAAATTTATGGCTGTCGTGGCTAAATACAATCTCACTCTTAATAGAGATAAATGCATATTTGGCTCTGATACTATCAATGTACTTGGCTATACGATTGAAAATAATACTGTCAAACCCGATAAGGATCGACTTAAGCCTTTACTGTCACTACCCCCACCGCAAGATGCTCCTTCATTAAAAAGAATAGTAGGTATGTTTGCTCATTATTCAAAATGGATAAGCAATTTTTCAGAAAAAATAAATGCTCTTGCTAGTACTCGTATTTTCCCCTTATCAGAAGAAGCAAACAATTCTTTTGAATCTATTAAGAAAGATATAGCTAATGCTGCGTTAGCTGCTATAGATCATTCAGAAATTTTCACGGTGGAAACTGATGCCTCTGAACACGCATTGGCTGCGACTCTATCACAAAATAAGCGTCCAGTAGCCTTTTTCTCTCGTTCATTAACTTATTCGGAAAGAAATCATTCATCTATAGAAAAAGAGGCTTCGGCGATCGTAGAAAGCTTGCGGAAATGGCGTCACTATTTGTCGGGGAAACATTTTATTTTGGTAACAGATCAACAATCCATTTCTTTCATGTTCAATCAAAAACATAATAGTAAAATAAAAAATGAGAAAATAGAGAGATGGAGATTAGAATTATCATGTTTCAAATATGATATTATTTATCGACCTGGAAAGGAAAATATAGTTCCGGATGCATTATCAAGAGTTTGTGCTAACATTTTTTCACGCAAAAACTTATATGAACTGCATAACTCATTATGCCACCCAGGAATCACACGAATGGCCCATTGGATACGTTCTAAAAACTTACCATATTCTCTTACTGAAATTAAAGAAATGACTGCGAACTGTTTGGTCTGTTCAGAAATAAAGCCTCGATTTGCTAATACTAAAGGAAAATTCATAAAAGCTGTAGCGCCGTTTGAAAGATTAAGCTTAGATTTTAAAGGCCCTCTCCCATCAAACAGTCACAATAAGTACATATTGACTATAGTTGACGAATTTTCAAGATTCCCTTTTGCTTACCCCTGCAAGGATATTTCTTCATCCACAGTAATAACCTGCCTTAAAGATCTTTTCTTCACTTTTGGAACTCCTTTATATATACATTCAGACAGAGGTTCATCATTTATGTCACAAGAATTTAAAGATTTTCTTTTAAGAAACGATATCGCTTGCAGCCGAACAACCCCTTATAATCCCGAAGGAAATGGTCAAGTGGAAAGACTCAATGGAACTTTATGGAGGACGATGCAACTGTGTTTGCGATCTAGAAATCTTAGCGTCCAGCATTGGGAACATGTTCTATCTTTGTCTCTACATTCTATTCGTTCATTATTGTGCACAGCTATAAATTCTACGCCTCACGACAGAATGTTCAAATTTCCGAGGCGTTCTGGAAATGGAGTTTCTTTACCTAACTGGCTAACTATTCCAGGACCGATATTATTAAAAAAAAATGTGCGGAACAGCAAATATGACCCGTTAGTAGAAGAAGTAGAATTATTGGAAGCCAATCCGAGTTATTCTCTCATACGTTTTGCAGATGGGAGAGAGGATACTGTTTCTAATCGGCATTTAGCACCAGTACCAACTAATATGCCTGATATAGAGAATTTTGATCGTACAGACACACAAAATTCTGGAGTTGATAACTTGAGCAGTGATAGTTCAGATTCAGGTCGTCCTGTGCGTGAAAGACGACCTCCAGCATATTTACAAGATTATGATTTACAGTAAAACAAATAATATGCACGGGTGAATGTGGTATATTCATAGATTATTATTCCTAAGAGAATGTATTACTATGTTACTATTCTATGATATACTAGATATACTCATTGTTGTTTATGACAACGTTGTTGACTTATATTTTTCCATGTAAAATGTATCGTTACTTATAAAGTTGAATTAATTGATACGAAAAGATACAAACCATTAGTCTCAAATGGTTTGTATCTTTTCGTATCATTAAGAAAAGCAAAAGAAAAGCCTTTTAATTGAAATATCTTTTTCTAGTATAAACAGACGTAATAAGAACCAAATATCTGGTTGTATGTAATAAATCCTTCTGTCTTACATGAAAAAAAAATTCGTTAATAATGATGTGCACATATAAACATTTAGCACTGCGTTAAAATATTCGCAATCGCGGATTAAGGATTGTTTATGTATTCTCTGTTAATGAGAAATTAACACTTTTGTATTTTTTTATACATTGGCTTTTTATAGATTAGCTCAAGCTAGAAGTTTAAGACTATCTGCCATTATTAGTTTGTCCGTACATATAAGAATAACAAATACACATTGTTGAATATTATTCGAAAGATAAGTGTTCTATTCTTTTTATTTCATTACATTTTTTCATTTAATAGATATAACTATTATAGCCACAGAAGGGTTGTTTTGGTGGTAACTAATAATTCATGACTATGCAGAAAAACCAAAATTTATATTGAAATAATAAACATTGATGTTCTATATTCAGTCATAAAATCACAATCATTTATCTTATTAAGTTAAAATTAAAATTCCAGGTTTTCGCCCGTGTATTAATTAACTTGAAACATGACATGAACACGTGCCACCACTTCGGCAAAAAAAACTGCATCTGCCTTTCTTATCATGTCCGATTGACGCACCAAATAAATTGCAACAACATCTTAAATGACAAATGCCTTTGGGGCCCATCAGCCCCAAATACCGTGACATGAGAATGGAAAATCCACCAGGGCCAGGTGCATTTTTAAGCATTTTTTATTAAATAGGCATTAAAAGAGCTCGAATTATATTTCATTATACTTCCAAAACATTATATTTAGCAACAACACGTTTAATTCACCATTAACGTTATAAACGATATATTAATATCGAACAACATTTTGTCTTACACACCATCCCTTACCACTGTCATTGCTGTCAATCAGTCGGAGTAAAAGTATTCTGTGGTTGGTTAGTTGTCAATTAGAACTGTGTGTGAAAGGTTGCTGAAAATAAAAATTTCATTTAGAATCTCATTTAACTAAGACTTCAAATTAAACATTTGATCTGACTTTATATTCAAATATTTAATAAATATTCATGTTCTAAATTGTAATGTTATCTTAATTCCAGTAAGTAGTTTCAGTCATAATGGGTCGTTTCCTGACGCCGGATAAATTGAAAGGATTCGAAAAATACAAGGTACTAAAAGTCTATTTATGATTATTGATTTTATTAAATATATTTCTATTAATATGACTTCAGTCATCCTTAACAACAAAATTATCAACACGATTTGCTCATATTTACATTCAATTTCATAATTTAAAAAATAATAATAATTTCATTTCAAGTGTTACTTATAAACTTTCTATTTCAGTATAATTCCATTGATACTAGTGTGCTTAGCAATTATGTTATGCATCCATTTTGGAACTGGTGTGTTCAGGTATGTAAAATTTATAATATTATATAGGATCAATACTCTTCAAAATTGGCACAATTTAAAAAAATACCAATTATAAAAAAATAAAAAATAACATCATAAACAGCTTCTTAATAAAATGTGATAAGCTAAAAGATTAACTTTATAATTAATGTATTGCAGTTTTGTCCAGTGTGGATTGCCCCAAACCTGCTAACATTTGCTGGTTTCCTACTCACTGTAATTAACTTCCTCCTGTTTTCATATTATGATTATGGGTTTCATGCCCTAACTGAAGAGAATATCACCAATGATCATATTCCTTCTTGGGTGTGGGGTGTGTCTGCGGTGAACTTATTTGTGGCTTATACATTAGGTGAGAATTTAGTTCATAATATTGTTATTATTTTTATTATTGAGTAAAGTTTGTGTGTTTGTGCTGGCAACTGATAGCATCTGTATCTTTCAACATCTAAAAAATGCTCATACACTAAAAACAGTCTGACTGAACCGATTACCAGGAATAAAGCTACAGGAACATATAATATTTATGAATTATACTTTATACCAAAAGCTGTAAAATTTATATTGCATTTAACAAAATAATAGACATTATATATAGACATATGTGCAATACAATTTTTTTAGGTTTCTTTTATTCTTTGTCATATCAGTAAAGATTTTAGGAAATTAAAGGGTTAAAAAAAAGTCTAACCTATCGGAATCATTATCACGAGGATATGAACAAATAGTAAAGTGGCCTGTAACAGTTGCAAATAAAATTAAGTTATCAGGCTCACTCAAAAATAATAAACTCTTATTTGGAATATCATTTATAGGTAAGAACATAATAATTAAATTATTATATTTGATCAATTTTGCATTAACAATGATAAACTAGAAAATCTCAAGAGTACCAGGGATGAAATGGATTTTTTAAACATTTTCCATTAAGAATAATAATCAAACTTGAGAAAATTATGAAACAATCATAATATTTTAATGAATTCTAACTTGGCAACTAATTTACATTTGTTTGTTATGACATTTTAACAACAAGTCTATTGTTTTGAATATTCATTTAGATTGGTTATCTGGTTATACAGATAAAATATTAGGATACTTAATATTTCCTGTTAAATGCATGAAAAATATAAAAATTCATAACATAAAACTAGATAGTTTATCTAATAATTGGGTACATAATGTAAATACACAGTTAAGTACATAATTGCATAATGGCATTAAAGGATTAAAGGTAATGACAGTTCATGGTTTATTCTTTACAATATTAATTTATTTAACCTTCATCTTTTTATAACCTTACTGCATGATTTCCAACATTATACATACACTGGGATGTAGTTTAACAACAATTTTGTAACAAAATACACATAATCTATTTCAACAACACAAGTATAGTCAAATGCTTGTTGAATAAAAAGTAAAACAGCCTTGAAATAGACGTCGATCACAGGGCTGTCACAACATAGAGGTTCAATCAAATAAAACCTACTTCAAAAGATGATAAAAGATTTATTTCATTGAGGTTCTGTACTGTTATAGCATTGCGATAATGTCGACGTTAACATAGCATAGCAGCTCGAATTATGTCCTTAGCATAGCAAGACAAATTATATGCTTTTTGTGTGTTACTGCAGTTATTACGGCTTGTGTATATTGCTGGACGGTGCTCGCATAAGGAGTGCGGGCGAAATCCAAATTAATGGACTTTGAATGTGCCATTGGGCTACATTTCACTGAATATACGAATGATAGATTATTTTATAAGAATTTATTAAATTTAAAATAATTTAATCTTATTACAATAAGTCACTCTGGATTTATGATGGACACTATCAATCCATTTATAATTAGGTACATCGTATAACTTAAGGGTGATTCTCGATAGGAAAAGAAAGATAAAAAGTAATATTTATATTTTCTTCTACTTCGTAATTCTACTCTTTTCTAATAGGGGAAATCGATTGCATATGTAAGTCAATCGGAGAACTTTTGAAATAATCGTTATAGTTTTATATTAACGCATTTAGTAATAAAAACATAATTGTACATTTCTTTATTCTCCGTTCTTCTAAAAAAATATAAGATAGAAGGCACACACGGAAGCAATTCCGTAATTATCTATCGTTGTATAAAAATAAGGTATTATTAAAACCACATTTTGTATGAAATAAAGCTACTATTGTTATTATTATTATAGAAACAAATCTTCAAGTTTAGTTCGCACTTTAAAATATTAAATAATCAACATTACCAGTACCAGAATATCCATTGTTCATTGTTTTAAAGAATATTATTGTATGCTCCATTGGATCGCGGTAGTCTTAAGATTTCGTGCATCTTAATAATAGTTCAGTCATTTAGTGCCCTTTGTTATCTTGCGTTGACATTTCGCTGATAATATATATTACAAATCACATCCTACTTAAAGTTGTTCGGATTTTGAAATGTTGGTGTCGATTCTGTTGTAAACTAATCCAAAATCTAATTTGGCTTAGTTTTCACGTTATTACGTAATTACACGTACATAATCAAATACATATTACTTATTATACTCCTCTACTTGATTAATATAATAAGTTAACTAACAAAGGTTAAGTAATATCTTAGTTAATTTACACAATTGAAAATTCTGTTGGACAGGACTAAACCTAATTGATTCTAGTTTGTTCAACTGAATTGCTATCATTATTAGTTAATTTTATGTTCTTTTAATACGTACAACGTGAGTCGTGACCCAATGAAACTAAACAAAAGTCGGCTCTGCGACCAACTCGCTGAATTACTTAAAAATATAAAAAAAAATAGAATTTGCGTTATCGATGAGGAACCATTGTTTGTTTTCTTCAAAATTTTAAGCTTGCTTCAAACTATTCAATTATGTATCTTAATTGGAAAATTGTATTTTGAGATTTCCACAAAGCATTTTAGATATTTTAAAAAGGCAATATGTCACAATAGGTGACCCTCGATATTGTAAATCATCCTCCAAAGGTCACTACCATGTTTTCGAACTAATTTATTAAAAATAAATGTCTGATTTTCTGAATAAATGTCTGAGAACAACTGAATTGGTCTTAGCTCCAAAGCAAATCAGCTGATGGACAGACAGACAGAAATTTGTTAGATCCCATAAGAGATTCCGTTATTTTTCCAAACACGAAATAATTATACCCGAAAAAATGATGTAATAATAAATATTCATAACATAATAACTACCTGTGCGAAGTTCAAATACCGTATAAGTCTGCAGAAATTAAAATACATACAGTAAGTCCCTGATAATGATACACCTACACATTATACGTTAGCAAATTTGCTTTGATTTATTCAAGTCGTTATATATATTTTTTTTATCTTACAATAATGTTTAAATGGCAAGAAAATTCCTACGCCCATAGGAATTTTCCCAGAATTTTCAATAACAAAAATATTGGCAATTATCTCCGACTTAAGTTGAAGACCCTCTCGCGGTAGGTACTTATAGCCTTTAAGCTTACTTAATGAGCCTTTCCTGAAAAACATCTTTAGATGTTGCCCATGGTATCAGATATTATAAATGTATTTTTAAATTCAAATATAGAAAAATCGCCTTGTCATAGAATATTTTCCCGTATAATTTTACAAAGCAGTTATAATACACGCATTAACATAAAAATTTGAAACTAGATTCCGGTTGGCATAAACCCTAGAGCGGGCCTTCATGTTACCTCTTCTAAAATACAGTTTCTCTCGAGTACCTAAGTGTTTTCCCGCACAGGGTCAACCTTGAGGTAGAGGGTGTGGAAGAAACTAAATTCTTTGTGCAAATCTATGCCGCTTGGGTGGTAGAGTAAGACATGATTGTAAGTAGGTATTATTATTAAGAATTATACTTATTACCTACCTAATATGATATATAAAGTCGTTTTAACAATCGAATATTCTCATAATAGAACCTGTGAATCTACCGCTTAACCTGACATCAATTTCAGGCTGATATTCACGATTTTTTTGTAGTTATGCTTATGTTCATTTATGTGAATCGATATCGATATCAAGGTTGGGCAAAAGAGAGATGAAATCAATCCGCCAGTCAGATTGATAAGGGCCAAGGATAGCGTGTTGCTCGTCAAAAACTGTTAAATTTATTTATCGAAAATTACTACGATTATTGTAAAGTGCTCCCGTAAAGGCCTTGGTTTATTTTTTTTAGAGAATATATAAATGAAAAAAAATGTTGACCATAAAAAAAACCCTTGAAGTAAAGATGTTATTTCTTTAATTACAGCTAATTTTGACGTTATTTCTGTGCCTATACGAAACCAATTTTTCTTGAACACGCTCTCTTAAGCAATAACTCTAAATTGAATTAAAATAATCATGAGTTTATGATACATTGATGATACAAATACAGTATAGTTGCATATACCTATTCTGTGGTACAATGGTTGCAATCAAATTGCAGACGGCATCGATGGAAAACAGGCTCGGCGCACCGGCACGAGCGGACCGCTGGGCGAGCTATTTGACCACGGATTGGACTCTTACTCATCAGTGCTTATACCTACATGCCTGTACAGCATCTTTGGAAGGTAATTAATAGTTCCATCCAATATTATAATTCAATCTAGTGCTCAAATGAACTCAAATACCTCGAAGGACCCTTAAAAACGAACTGAGAAATTTAGTGGTTCGCACGCCGGTTTCAAGATGTCGCCATCTCTGATGTCCAGGGTTTGATTCCCGATAGAGTCAATGAAAAAAAAATATTTATTCTGTATTATCTGAAATGAAAATGTCTTTATTCAAGTAAGCTTGTTTTAAGCACTTTTGAATCGTCCAAAAACATTTTTTTTCCCTACCACTCCTTCACGACGTCTTTTAGCTGACAAGAAGAACAAGCGAAAGAAATTTACCAGCTCTTTATCATAAGTGCTGACATTTACATAAATCATGTCATTACCATAATAGTACGTATTATAACAATAATAAATACAATTTTCAAAGTCTGTAGGACATAGGTTGGTACTATAATAATAAGTCGTTATAGAACAAAGCGAAGGCTATTAATTCCATGAATTGCGGTCTTTCAAATAATCATCAACTTTATAATAGCCTTTACTCATAAGTATATTCTTTACATGAATTTTAAATTTGTTTATGGGTAGGTCAATTACATTTTGTGGAACTTTTTTGAACATAGTAATGCATTCACTCAGAAATGATCCTCTGGTTCTTTGTAGTCTGAAGCTTGGAACGGCAACTTTATTTTAATCTTGTGTTAAGATTATGAACACTACTTTTTTTGTGATAGAATCGTAATGTTTTTTTCGTACATCATATTTTCATAGATGTATTGAGAAGCAACAGTCAAAATATTTATTTCTTTAAATATTTCTCTGAGAGATTCCCTCGACCGTAAATCATATATAACGCGGACAGCTCTGTTTTCTAGAATAAAAATATCTTAAATGCCAACCGCAGAACCCCACAACAATAGACCGTCATTACACCATGAAAATAATTAAAATATACCAATCTTGCCATTTCAACATTTGTCAAGAGTCATAACAGTAAATGCTGCAGAACTCAGTCTACTTCACAAGTTACGAGGGTCAAACTGAAAGTTCTTAGAACTGGCCACTTATAAACAATATAATAAAAAAATTATTCTAAAATTTGAAAATATAACTCTTTGCCAATATTACTGAGTATATATTTCATTCATTTGTCATTTGTTTTACGATTTGGCGGCAAATTGAAAATTGTCTGTGTCACGTCATCATGAATTTAACACGAGAAAATTTTCGTGCAATGATTTTTTATGACTTTCGATGTCATTTAAGTCAACAAGAAAGTTATGATAGACTACGATTGGCCTTTCACGATGAAGCCCCATCTTGTGCGACTGTTTACAACTGGTTTAATGAGTTTAAACGTGGTCGCACTAATCTCACTGATGATTTCGGTGAGGGACGGCCTTCTACGGCGACGACTGAAGATAACATCTGTGTTGTGCGGCGTATGATAGAGACTGACAAAAGAGTGACCTATCAACAGATTCGGACAAGCTTAGGCATCGGTATGAGTCAAGTGCACAAAATCCTCCACGAACATTTAGCGGTCAGGAAGCTTTGCGCCCGGTGGATACCTCATAATTTGATTGAGGCTCAAAAACTCCATCGTGTGGATTGGTGTCGTAAAATGATTGAAAGATTTAACGGAGGTGACTCAAATGCTGTGTTCGACATACTAACAGGTGACGAAAGCTGGATTTACTGTTATGATCCTAAAACCAAAAGACAATCTGCTCAGTGGGTGTTTCCTTTCGAGGAGTTGCCAACTAAAGTGAAGAGAGATCGAAGTGCGGGAAAAAAAATGGTGGCCTCGTTCTTTGGAAGGATAGGTCATTTTGCAACAATTGTGTTAGAGGATCAAAAAACAGTTTCTGCAGAATGGTACACTACCAATTGTTTGCCACTTGTCTTGGAAAAAGTTCGAGAGAAACGACCTCGCAGTAGGATCCTCCTTCACCACGACAACGCCTCGTCGCACACCGCCAAGCGAACGATCGACTATTTGGCGACATCAAACGTTGAATTACTGGGTCACCCGCCGTATAGCCCCGACCTCGCGCCTTGTGATTTTTATTTATTTCCAAAAATTAAAGAAAAACTTAAAGGAAAGCGGTTTATGAATGCTGAAGAAGCGGTGGCTGCGTATCGCGATGCCATTGAAGAGACCCCTAAGGACGAGTGGGCAAAGTGCTTTTCCCAGTGGTTCCATCGCATGCAGCGGTGTATTGACGTGAATGGACAATATTTTGAAAAGATATAATAAAACTAATAACTGGCTAATGTAATCAGTTTTTGATTTTCTAAGAACTTTCAGTTTGACCCTCGTATCAATATGAGGATCCCATTGCAGTCGGGAATCTTGTGTAATACCAAGAAACATTGTCGATTCCACCAACTCAACTTTTTCACTATTTACATTTATAAGTGTACTAACATGCCTCACATTAGGTAATGCAAACTTTATGCATTTCGTTTTATTTGAATTGAGATTTAAATTATTATAATCAAACCACTGTAGAACATTGTCGAGAGCATTATTTATATCGTCAAAACAATTATTACCCCTCTTAACTTTAAACACTAAGGAGGTGTCAACAGCGAATAATACTGTCTCACACAAATTCCTTCCTTCGTTGTCTCAGATAGTTCATAATACGAGGCTTTGGCTGCTCATCTTGGAATCTGAGCAATGTATGCGATGTTGACTAACATTTTTTAATGCACCAGCCATTAGTGCAATCAAATTATACAACATAACATTAACTCATTAAAGTCCCAATTGGGGCTGAGGACTTCCCAATGAGTAGCTCGGTGGCGTAGAGGATAAGCGCTGCGGCCCGAGATCGTTGTTGATAAGCAACTTTCGCAATGGTCGGTCACGGGATGGGTGATCAAAAAATTATTATCTCGAGCTACTTCGTGCTTCGGAAGGCACGTTAAGCCGTTGGTCCCGGCTGCATTTGCAGTCGTTAATACCCTCCAATCCGCATTGGGCCAGCGTGGAGGGTCATGGCCCGTCTTCCTTAACCATCCATAAGGAAGGCCTGAGCCCCTGCAGTGGGGACGTAAAAGGGCTGATGACGATGATGATGATGACTTCCCAATGGATGGAATCGAATGGGCCAAGACCCACCACGCGAGAATAGTGCCAACTAGGCCCGCGTGGTGGGGCGCGCGTGGGGACCATAATGCAATTTTAAATTAAAAGATATATTTTATTTTCAGAGATGAATTATCACCTCTTAGATTTTTCTTCGTCATCTGGAACATTTTCATCAATTTCTACTTGACCCACTGGGAGAAGTATAATACAGGCGTCATGTTCTTGCCGTGGGGATACGATTTTACGATGATTGTAAGTACCTTTTAAAATTGTTACTGCTTACTTAACACATAAATTAAAATGTAGTCTAAAGTATAAAAAAATAAATAAAGTGCATAAGTTTATTTAAAAAAAAATGCGTTCAATAGAGTCTAGTGGTTCTTAGCATGTCATTAGGGACCATTTTCCATCTTGCTATGGCAGCCCCAAATCGGGGGTGTTGAGCTAGCAAGCCATAATTTTTTCTCATAAACCGTGATGATTAGACAGTTGAGATTTTCACAGATGATGTACTCGTATTTCTGTTACCGCTATAAGAACAAATACTAAAAATACAGAATAAAATAAATATTTAAGGGGGGCTCTCATTCAACAAACGTATTTTTTTTACTCATTTTCGTTACTGAACTCTGTGTCTATAAAAACACGTTAACGTGAAGGGTGGTCTTGTTCATTAACGTGTTTTTAAGGTCACAAAGAGTTTATCTGAATTTTTTTTATATCTTCATCTATTTTATTGATTTGAGTTTATGTTAGTATTAAGTTGTCCTTCATACTAACATAAACTCAAGTTAGTATTAAGTTGGCACAGTTTTAAGTTGTCCTTCCGCTAGCGTACATTCGCTCGCGATCCACAGTTGTTCGCGCTCCGGCACAGTTTGGGAATCGCTGGTATAGGATATTGTATCGCAGGGTTCGTGCTTGGTGCTAGCAGTGACGTGGGTAGTGGGACCTAAAGCGTGGCACATGCAGTTGCCCGGCGGCATAACGCCAGGCCTGGTATTCGAACTGGTACTCTACTTCTCCGCTATGATCACCAGCCAGACCATTATACTGTGGAACATATACAAGTATGTACCCGCCATAATGTTTCTTTATAAATTTTATTTCCGTTGCGTACTTCTATGATAGAACATTAGAAACAAATAGGTAGTATTATATTGCGAAATAATCAAAAATATTCTCATAAGAGGATCTATGTTGGAATTATACAAAACAGTTGTGTGTGTGAGGTAATAACGATAATTATGTATATGTCGCAGCCAACTGCCCTGTAATTGAATGGCGCCATTCAATCGTATGCCTAGTTTTCTAGTTGAATTATTATGACATTCGGACCGCTCAACAAGACGACTGATTTGAAAGCCGCCTTAACGTTTATTTAGTTTATACCTTCGCCAATGTGGCGCTAGCTTCGCCTTGTTTACAAACGTTTATTCAGCCATGCAATGTTTTGATTCATAAGTCTTAAAGGGCCAAAATAGCTTTGTTTATTCTATAATTTTTTGTTATCTGTTAAAAAATAACCTCTACATTTAACTTAATTGAACGATGCTATTCAAATAAAGAGCTAGTCGCCCAATTGGACGGCCGTCATCCCCTCAGGTTCGCACGTTGCCACAAGCAGGTTCAATTTTAATGAATTAGAGTGATCTCCTTATTATGATGACCTGCCCTGTAAGGCTCCATTCACACCGCGATTGTAAGCGACTTGTCACAATTCTAGACGCGTGACTTTTTTGGCTCGCATTTAGTTTATATTTTATACAATTGATTTAAAGTTTATTATTCTATGTAAAATTTCTTTGCAAAAAGTCGCTTCCACGCTATTCCGAGACGGTGTAAACTTATTCTAATAAACCTACCATTGTTTACAAAGGAGCCGAAATATCATCATTATGGCATCTAATTTATTAAGTTCAACAAAATTACCAAGTTCCCGGCTTCAATTAAAGCTAAATGTAATATTAATGTGTGCACGGTATTTTGATAACAGAGTTCAGATTGCATGCGCCTTTAACCTCTGCCTAAGATTATTATTAGGCGTCTGATCGCATATTTTTTTTAAATATCTCGATTTACTTGGCCTAGTAGCTCATGCGGCGCCACCGGCGGTCATATCAAGGTGTCACCTGAAATCCCGGCTTAAGATGTCTGGCGGAGTCAATAAAGAAAAATAAAACATTTTGTGTTGCGTACCTTCTGTGCTTTATATTTCCATTACAAAATTAAAAAAAAATAACACTATAAATAACATGCAAATAATTCAAATGCATTTGATAACCTGCGAGAGTTCTGGCAAATATCTTTTTTTTTTTTGTTGAATTATATTAAATTATGTTTAATTTTGTTACACTTATGACTATGCGATGTTATATAATATTTATTATGGCTAAAAAGTCTGTACTTCTTAGCCAAATTTCTAATATACATCAATAAATTCTTTTCTGGTTAAACTTTTATCACGTGCAATTTGTACGTTTAGTTTTTTTGAAATCACGCAAACTTTTATAATTAATAGTGATACTCTAAATCATATAATACGATAACCGCTCGCTTGCCCATTTACATGTCAGCGTTTGAGTGCCCATTTACATGTCAGCGTTTGAGTTTTGTTAACCACTAGTTAACACGGGGCAAGCAAGCGGTTCTGAAACATTACCAAAATCATTAAAACTAAATTTATTAACGTAATATACTTAGTTAAACAGTAGTAACCGTTACGCCAGTCAAAAGTCAAGGTCTTCCTTGCCTCTGTTTGTAATGTTGCTGTTAATTTACATAAATATGAATGCCTGTTTGTCAACAAGCCAGTAACATCGAATAAAAGAATACCGATGATGATCAGATACATATTAAACACGCATTTTTTTTATTTCTTTCCATAACCAATAAATTACGGTGAAACGTTGAGTGGAAATGTCGCATGACGTTACGCCTTTGTACATTTTTTACGTAGTTGTGACGTAGCAAGCCCCCACTCCGCAACTTTAATGCCTATAATCTGAGTTTCGTATCTAACATTTTTTCTAGTATCTGACTGAACTACTTAATATAAATTTATTATTTTTACCCTCTCTTCATCACCATTGGCTAGTTTTTAATGCTTTAGAATCTCAAAGTTTTCTTTTTAGTCCTGCATTATTTATGCGTTCAAGTAATAGTGATATCAAATAACCAGATCATACCGCGACCGCACCGGCAAGATGCGTTCGTTTCGTGAAGCGATAAGGCCGTTGGTGCCCGTAGCGATATTCTTCGCGCTAAGCACCACGTGGGCTGTGTACTCGCCCACTAACGTTATCAACAGGGGGCCACGAATCTTCTATCTCCTCACCGGTACCATCTTCTCCAATATCAACGTAAGTTCTACACGCGGAACTCTGTTTATGCGCAACAGAGTTCCGCGTGCTTACTAGACGAACTCGAGGGACTCGAGAAGCTCTAGGAACTTGAGAAACGGGCCTACTGACATATTTCTATACATCATTCTTGGTCTCTCGTCCGTTTCTAGAGTCTCTCTAGTCCATCATGTGAATCATCAGCCTAGATTATAGAGAAAGAGAAACAGATTTATAAAATTACAGTCACAAAACGGTTTTCAGGAAATTGACATAATAAAAAAAAATAATAATTGAAAATTATAAAAAATCGAATGTAATAACTCATAGCTGCAACAAAAACATATATAGATAAATGTAAAATAAACGAGCGAATTAAGTCCATCTAATGCTAAGTAAGATTAAATGAGTTTGCTTGGTGTACCTTATTGGGTTGTTGAATAATAAAATAGCGTTATGTAACTAACTTATTTACTTTAAAAAAATATTGTTATTACATTAGAATGTTTGTATCTGAACTCCACCGCCACTGAAAAACCCGGAAAGGCTTTTTGTTCGCTATTGATGATGTAATTTTTTTTGCATGCAAAAATATGTATTTTTTTTCGACAAATTAAAATAAAAAAAAATGCCTATCGAACTGACAATTATTGAGTCTTATCAAGAAATACTCAACTTCGTCACCAAAACATTGTATAAAAAAATATACAATATTTTGTTGACGAATGTTTTTTCTATGAGTTCGTCGGAGTTCTTGTCTCACGTAAATATTCATTGTTTTTCAACAGTGCCGTCTGATCGTTTCCCAAATGAGTGACACAAGATGCGAGGCATACAACGGCTTATTGATGCCATATGCTATAGTGATGGCGAATGTTCTCTACTATGATGTCTCGCCTATGACTGAATTAATGCTACTAACGATGCTATGCGTTGGCAGCACGATCTCGCATATTTACTACGGCACCAAAGTTGTAAGTATTGTACTAATAAATAAAATAACTTTTAAACTGTTCCATCGCGTTTGTATTTAGTTTTGTTGACGTTTCAGATCCTTTACACGTTCCGTTTTACGTAAGACTAAAGTGTTGATTGTCTTTTTAATTCAGTTTTGTTTTTTAATTTCAATAGCCTTGTGTATCATTTTTATTCAGTCGCATGTATTTTATTCGCAAGTATTGAACACGTTATCTGTAAAGGGTCTGTAACGTCAATGAAACTAAATACAAGATGATGAAACCGTTTAAAATTTATATAATTTATGGATAGTGCGTGTATAAGAAATCAATATGTTATAGGTACTAATAAAGACTTGATCGTTTGTTTGCGCCGAATAGGCTTCGAAGCTACTGGACCGGTTTTAAAAAATTATTCCACCTACGGGAAGCTATATCTTAAACAGGCGACATAGATTATAATTTACGCGGGCGAAGTTATGTGAATATATTGTGGGTTTCGAGCCATTGGGATAAGCAATACCCTAAATATTCAGAAGACAAAAAACTAAATATAATTGTCGGTCATATGTCGAAGTCTTTCACTTCTATATTTTTAAGTAATTTACCGATTATAAAAAAAATAGGTTTTGTTAATTGATTAAATTGCTCATTATATAAATGAAATAACTCGAAGCCCGCGATATGATATTCGTGTTAAGGCCCTTTTTCGTTACGCCGTGCCATACGTTACGTTGGGAATGCCTGATCCCTAGCAGTGGGGACACATATAGCTGGTAAAGGTGATGATGATGATATGGCCAAACAACTTTTAAGGCGGAACGTCATTAGTTTTGACTAAAAATGGAACTGATAATCTAATTTGATGTTTTTTTTTTTATCAATGACAAGTGTCTTTTTAAAATAAAAATATATAAAAATGATATGCGTTCATTTATTATTGATATTTATCGTATATGATATGACATTACAATATTATTAAAATATTTAGTTTTATTTATTTGAGATATCTAAAACTATGTTATTCATAGACATTATTTTGTAATCTTTTTTATTACAGGTGCAAGAAATGTGTAAACATTTCAAAATTGAATGTTTCCGAATTAAACCAAAGGTAAAATAAGTATATTATTCGTATACAATAACGAAGTTCTCTCTATTTATCTTTTTATAATACGATTTTTGTCTACATAATAGCCTATTGTAATGAAGGCTAGAGTAAGGTAGGTGAATATTTAATGTTTATTGTGATTGGTATTGGTAACAGTAGTGTAGAACCTTGTTAAGGCAAGAACTTTCTTAATGACCTTATTAAAGGTTCTTAATAAATTAGTAAATAATAATTTTGGGGTCACTATTGGAGTACTTGAAAACTTAACCATACATTTTTTGTTTGAAGACTCACATGTGACTGATAGGACACGGATTTTGCGCTTTATTATTGCAGATGACAGTTAAGATTGTTTATTTGTGTATATGTATTTATCATCTGTTCGTACTTAGGGAACTCTTGATAGCCAATAGAATTTGTATTTCTTTATACTTTTGAATAGCTGCAAAGCGGCAAGGATTATAAATTTGCAATTAAGTTGACGTCAATTCATGCCTATCTAGGTCTTCCAATCCCACGATACCAACATTCCAGTCCTGCTTACTGTGGGATTTTTAAGGAGGGTTCCCACGAGATTGCTAGTCTCGGAAATCAAATTAAAAACTTAAATTCATCTTTAATTACTCTTAGCAAATCTGGTGTTTTGAATTTGTAAATGTCTTACACTTAAATATAAAACTATAAAAGAAATATTGCTGACGAGATAAAGCCGAAAGGCCCTTTTTTGCCTTTAAAGTATGCAGTAGTTTGTAACCGTTACTTTGTATACAACTATTTTGTTTTCATAGTAAAAATAAATCTACGGAAGGCTGACCTAATCACATTTTAGTTATTTTTCTATAATTGATAATTTACGTTATTTTACTTATATCAAATGAATATTATTAATTTCTATATGCGGGATCCCGGAAAAAAAAGCGTAACAATATCCATAAACATTCTATTTGGCATTTAATGACAAAAAGAGTTACATGTTATTTCAATTGCTTTTCAACTAGTCTATTAGTTAGTGTATTCTAACTTAATGAAGTGAGAAGATGTTATTGCATTGCAATCACTTTATATGCTCAAACTGAGATCTGTAAGTGTAATCAATCTCAATATACTTTAATTCCATTTGTGTATATCTAGGAAAGCCTAAAACTTAGTTTTTAGTCATATTCATGTATGTGTTGCTCATTTGTTTTAATATTGACAGGTATTATTTTTAGCTGTTTCTATGATTTACCCTTGTGATGAACTAAAATGTTTTGTTTTCTATTTGTTATAATTTTCTGTCTTAAATGCATTTAATAATTTGTATGGAAGAAACTTCCAAAATTATATAAACTGTACCATATCCATTTTAATCTTATATTGATGTATGTTTAGAATGAATTTTAGATTTAAGATTTATTCACATATTTTAGATACTAAAATCGATGTGTTACTAGTAGTACTAGTCATGTTTAATATATTGCCATATACAAAACTTAAGAAATAATTACTTTCAAGGATATTTTTATATTTCATGCCAAAAATATAGTCAATTTTATGAATGTATTGATGTTAATGACTTTTATATGATACCAGTGTCATAACACTTATTTTTATAAAGGTTTAATGTTTCTATTAGAAAATTTAATGTACACAGTATATTTTAGACTTGCCATTTGGCTGTTTTTCCTATTGTATTTATATTACAATAAGAACTGTACTAGTGAATACAGAATTTTAAATCCAGCTTATTTTTATTTTGGTTTGATTCCTAAAATTTTTAAAGGTTTGCTGTATGAGCACATCACAATATGTAATTACCATCCTCTGTTGTATTTAGAAACAAGAGTTTGTTTAATGTTTTTGGTAACATTAAAATTGCTGCAGCCACATACATGGCAGCTAAATGTGACACTATTTATTGTTTAGTTTATATTTATTTGAAAGAATGAATACTTGAAAATGTATCTGATATTGTTAGGCAATTTTACAGATTTTACTTTCCCAAATCATTAGTAAAATGTTATACCAACATTCTTTAATAATGTTAGTAACTTACTAAATGTAAATATGAACAAATAGAAATATTATAAAAGTGTAATATTTGTTTTATTGTGAATAAAAGTACCTTAGTGTGCAATAAACATTCTTATTTATTATAGTAATATAAAGCAAAAAATCAAAGCCAAGTCCTTAACACATAGTACTAATAGTTTCATTGATTTCATCTCCTAATGATAACAACTTCCTCCATTGCTCAGGAGTCATACTTATGCCTTTCTTCCCTGGTAACAATTCACCATTCTTTTCATAGAACTCTCTAACATCAACATAAACTTTCCCTTTGAATTCACGCACTTTAACAAGTTTTTTTCCTTCTAGAACCCATGTTGGTTCTTTGTCATCTGTTCTAGAACCCATTTTTGCTTTCTTTTCTGGTGGAACATTTCTCTGAAAAAAAAATAGAATAGGTTTTTTTTTGAGTTACAGTAAGTGAGGAAACAAAAATATGTTGCCAAACACATTCACTAAGGGAACAATTGATTTCTGCCTGTTGACATTTCCAATGTGATTACGTAGGTAAATAATGGACTGAAGTAAGTTACTAAGTGCATATAGCAGCACGTTAGGGTGCTATAAAAGGTAAACAATTTCAAAATATACAAAAGAAATTCGGCATCGCGATGTGCTGTCGACTGTACATCTATTTTCTATATGCTTAGAATTTACACGTAGAACATGATAAGAAATGAAGGCTGGGCTAAGGGTGAGGTAAATGGAGGTTATATTTCCATATTTTGTACATATTCCATTTTAGAAGAATATCTATGTTTTGTAACAGGTTTGCTTACATCAACGGGTCCATCATCGCTGTCGCTGCTGGAGCTCTCAGCTTTCTTCTTATTTTTTGGCATTCTACCGGTACCCGAAGATTTGAAACTAAAATCAGGTCAACATCAAGTGTTTAAAAAAAAGATATTTTGGCTACCTATTTGTGCAATAGCTAACAATACCTTATAGAAGGTACGTATAATAATTATAGCTAACAAAGTAATATTTATTGCTTCTAACGTATTACTTAAATTCTCTTTGCTTACAACTGTGATCTTATTAGTACTCGATTTTCTATTTCTTCAGTCGGTGACAGATACGATTTGGCAGTTCCAGTTGGCGGGTTGACATGTGGCACCAGTGTTGCCAGATGGAATCTAAAGTCAGGTAAAAGTGTTCTGTAGGGCAAGCGTCTACTAAGCCGAAAATTTCGCATATTTGAACCGGGCTTAAAACGTTTCAGCGCATCTAAGGGACGCGACTTCAAACTAAATGTAACGAAGGTGGTTTATTGCTATTCGATTTAGTGTGCCTTGTTATCCCAGTGATTAAACGAAATAGACAATATATGAATGAGAAGATTATTGGAATAGAATACGAGTGATGTATTACAATTAATTTATTTTCAGTTATTTTTAGAGCTAATAGCAAAGATCGTTTTTCAATATGTTCGTTCTGTGATGATCTTGAGGATATCCAAATAACGATTTTCGATTAAATCAAATCGATATCGGACACTCTAAATATAAATTCTGTCAAAATTAGGCATGTCAATTCACTTGAAAAAAAAAATTGATCTCTGATTCGATTCGAATCGAACATACCAGAATTGATTTTTGATTAAATCGAGCATTAAAAGATCAATTTTCAATTAATCGCGAATTTATACAGAAACATGCCTTATAAATATAAAATTTACCGTTAATACAAGTAATGTAGGAATTGCAGAAGACCAATCAGGCAGTCTGTCTTCAATCTAATCTAAATAAATCAGTCATAAAAAATAAATTAATCAAATAGAAATGACAAGAATATCGTACCAAACGTTGAAATTCATTTGAATATTTCCCGCTCTTGTAACTTTAGGTATGTCCGCAACTTTATAGTAGGTACGTTTTATTTTTGTTACTAACGAGTGGGGCGATGTATGGGTGATTCCATAAGCTGGAGTAACAATGACAGTAGTGACAACTATACTATACTAGCATTCGAATGCGTTTATAAATATTTATTTTATGCATTCAAATCATCAATGCAACAGGAAAATATAAAAAAAATATCGTATCCAAATTAGGATTTTTATATTGCTAGTTCTTGAATTGAATTGAATCGGTACGATTCAAGGGTACATGCATCGATTCAAGAATCAATGTGGCATACCAAATCGATCTGAAAGTTCGAAAATTATACACTAAATAATCGATTTTTCGATTAATCAATTCAGATCCACATGTCTAGTCAAAATAAAAAGTTAACCTGAAACTTGTGAGCCCCATGTTTGTGCTTGTAAATAGAGCTGTAAAAGTAACGAATAAATCTGTACCCGTATGTATTCGTTACTCTAAAAATCATTACTCGTTACTTTCGTATCGTTACGTTACTCGTTACTTCCAATACCTCATATTTATGTCAGAGATACGAATCGAATCGTACAATATGATATCGCAACATTCGTTATTTGTAGTAACGTTACTTAAATAAGTACTGAAAAGTGTTATAATTCAAAAGCACCAAATGGGAGTAGAAAATCATTTATTTATAATAAAATTAGACATTTTAGGGCAGAAATCTATAGTTCATATTTAAAAATAAAATCTTTTCCTTTAATATTTGGACCGATTTGGAAAAAATCCTTTCAAATGGTACCGAGGTAGTCATCACTGATAAATATTTCTCAGACATATTTGAAAGTTCGGGGTATAAAAAATAATGCGTTCTTCTAGATATTGCCTCATGCAATAAATAGTTAAAACTCAAGTGTCTTAATCATAATAATCCTTAAAAGATAAGAATTAAAAAAGAAAATACGCAATAATAATAAATCAAAACATATACACATATTTCTTAACTTGTTTCTGTACCAAAATCAAACTTTTATACACACAATACTTTTACTCAACAGTAAAATACTTGGACGAGTAATTTCCAAATTATTCTATAACAAACGCGCGTCGTTTTTTGTAACGAACCTACATTTTAAACTCATCGAATAAGCGCGCGCAATGGGCGCATGCGTAATATCGGTAGGCAGATACCATCAACAAGCGTTTCAATACACGCATCAACGGCACTAGTACGTAAACTGAAAAAGTATTGGTACTTGGTAGATACGAAAAATGCGAGTAACGAAATGCATTCGTGAGTAACGTTTCGTTACTCGGTACTAGACATAGAGTAAGGTAGAGTGGAAATATTTTCTATGGTTATATAAATATCACGCAATCTGAAGTTGACATCAAAAACATCATGTTGTCTTTTTTTAACTAATAAGTGTTAGAATATTAATCTGTGGTTGTCAATGTAGCATACTTACTCTATGGCACTATCTCTCTCTCTGTGGTTTCATGTAAAAATGGTGAAAGATCTTTTTGTAAGTGTGAATTAATAAAAGAATTCTAATAACATAATCAAGTGTTTGTTATGAAGTGCACGCCGCCACGACGAATATTATTACCCCATCAATTAAAATCTCATAATAAGAAGTTTCTTTAGTAAACAAAGATAACACTAGTGTGACAGTTCAAAATTTTTTACGTGACGTCATGAGATATAGCTATCGTACCACCTGTCAGCCATTTGCAAATTTGCTTTGCGTATTCTCGGAAGTAGTTCAGCTGTCAGTGTTATAAGTTTTGTGGTTATTTTCATTTATAACTTTAATTTATATAACTTTCATGGCAGAAAATTGTAAATTATTTATGCAAAACAATGCCTAGGTGCTGTATAATTGGTTGTGCGTCATCAATATCCCGCAAACCGAGCAATATTACGTTTCACCGGTAAGTTAAACACTTTCTTGGAATAACAGTGTTTAAAACGTAAGTAAGTTATTCTGAAAATGATTGCGTGTATAAATCGATACATATCGTATTTTGGCGTGTTCTATTTATGCTATATTGCTCTTTTCGTTTATATTTTTATAATATTTCGGTCCGTAAATAATATTGTTTACATGGCTAGTGTCGTTACTTTAACATATGGTTTATATCGATAATTTTAATATTTAAAAATATATTAATTATTTTAGATTACCAAAAGATGAAACAAAAGAGGAAAATGGCCGAGTTACATAGAAGCAGAAAATATTAAATGTAATGAAAAAGTTACTTTTATCTGCTCACTTCATTTTAGGGGAAGTTGTTTGAATCGAACTTTAAATATAATAAAATTACGAGATGATGCATTGCCAATCAAATACTCTGGTAAGAATTTTTGACAATTGCTTTTAATTTATTTAAAAAAAAATGTCTATTACACTTAGTTAATTTTCATTTGATTTTACTGATTTATTTATTTAGTTTTTTATATAGTCATTTTGTTATTCTATAAATGTACCTTATTTTTAGTCTTGCGGTCATATGACGAAAAAAAACAGAATGCAATATATAATAATATTAAAATATAAAATTCTGATCATAATATACTCCCAGTAAAATATACAATAAAATGAGTTAAATAATTTTAATAAAAATTAAAATATGCACACTTATCAAATTTATTTATAATTTATTCATAGTTAAAGGTTTTCTTTGCTGTTCAATAGTATAATCTTAATACCCAAATAATTATTTTGCGGCGTGGATGTTTATTTTGCTGATGCATCATAAAATACGCTACCTTTTTGAATTTAAATTGCTGACCGTTATCATGATTGTTCACAGAACATGAATTGCAGACTGTTTTAGTGCTGAGAAAATATTTGTATGCTTGCCTATTGATTAATCGGCTGTTTTCTTCTTGCTAACCAAATTTTTAAATAAAATGCCAATTGTGACTTCTTTAATAATGTTACTGTTTTGCCAATTGTTACTTATTCATCACCAACTTTATTTTCTCTTGTTTATTCATCAAAGTTTACAGTATTTTTATGTTCTTTTACCAATAATACAATACAAAGATTATGTAGGTGTTTCAAGTTTTCTATGTTTACTACTAAACAAGATGTTCTGAACTAATATTGTGACACAGTACGCACGGTATCTCACTTAATGAGGAGGAAGCGAAATTTATTCAGTCAAAACAATTTATTGAATAAATTTATAGACAAGTTGCCTTACTAGTTACAAGCATATAGGAAAGTCGAAACTCTGTGCTTATAGTTCAGCAATCTATTACGGGAAACCTTGTACCGAGAAAAGAAGAAACTGTAAGAAAGGAACCGGTAAGAAACTGCAAGGGCTGCTTTTGCACCCTGTTTAATTTCGTACTGAAAAATAAAAAATGACTTCATTGGACCAAAATGTCACTTTCCACCAAAACAATAAAAAATATATAACAGACAAAAAAAGCATAATAATTCATTCGTCAATCGACTCATTAAAAGCTTATTATAGTTACCGTGGTAGTTATCTTGAACAGTAGTCACACTTCCCGTGGATGCAAAATTAAACTTATGTTAAAAAACTATTTAATTATAATTGCAAAATGTCAACTTGACAATATATATGGAAATAATTATAAAACACGATTGATATTATTGTAAAACTTTTAAGATATATATTTTCGTACTATAGTTCTTAAAACTATGTAAAATTGGCTATATTATAGGAAAAAGAAACATATTTATCGAGGTACAATCATATTATAAAATAATATTATTAAATAATATAAATGTGAAAGTTTGTGAGGATGGATGTTGGTTACTCTCATGTCAAAACTACTGAACGGATTTTAATGAAATTTGGAATACGAATAATCTTTTACCCGTGGGAAGCGCCATTATACGCTGGTAACATATGTTATATTTACTATAGTGACGCAACGGAGTCGCAAGAACAAAGAACGCAAGAAATTTTAGATGTCCAACAAAATACGAGCAAAAGATTGCTTAATGATTTATAAATAATTGATAAATTCACACCACTTTTAAAAAAATATTATTTTCTTGATACTGGCGTGAATTTTTCAATTTAATTAATAATAATCATAAATAGGATTGGTACGTAAGTGTGAAATGAATAGAAGTGTAATAGGTAATAGTTTAGCCATGCCCCTAACAATGAAAATTATATTATATTATTTAATAAGTAGTAGTATTGTAGCAGTTTCACGAAATACTAACTTTTATTTAATATGACTTCAATGTCGATACAAATATCGATATCTTGGGTCACGCCCTATGACAATCCGCCATCGAAGAATTTGCATTTGAAGTTTAGGCATATACGCTTTTTTCGTAGGTATGGCCGGTCCTCTTCTTTTATGTCTATGGAACTAGACGGCGCACCCGTTACTCAGTACCGAATACATACGATTTGCTACAGCTCTACTTGTAAATGTAAAACAGCAATTTAGAATTATACTGGTGTGGCACTTTCTAATCTGATTTACAATTAAATAGAATTCTATATAATTAAATCTGGTAAAAAGAAATCGTAGGCTAGTAGTTGTTCTAAATTATATTTTATTTAGATAAATAAAAATATGAGCCCGTTAGAATTATGGAACGACCGGTGTCTGGAACCTCCACCTAATAACACATTTCTCTGTAATTACAGTAATGGTAAGTCAATCAAATTATGTAACGGTTTCAGTTTCTTAATTTTCAGTATCTATTTATTTTGCAGATTCTCGTCATATGTCCTTAATGTGCAACAATATAAAAAAAGTGTTGTCAAAGCAGTTGCCACTTCATAAGGAGGGTGCATTGTTATCTAGATTTATATACAAATTTGACAAAAAATTTCGGAACGACATAGGATATAGAAATTTTAAGAAAGTTAATACTGCTCTTCATAAATATTTGTCATTGAATTTACTGAAAGATATTGAGAATTTTGATTCTTTACTTCCTAAAAACAATGAAGATAATTATTTACCAACCAAACAAATGTTACAGTATATATTAATACGAATAATGACATTTGCAATGATAATGAAGAGGATTTGCATTTGTTCAAAGCAAGCAGCAGTATATTACATGGACAGATTGAAAAGAGGGGAGAGTTATTGGATGTCTCTTATGCCATTTGCACTTCTTAGCAGAATTTGGTCATTGAGTTTAATCTTACTGCAACATTGTTGTTCATGGTATTTAAATCTATACAACTATCTTGATAAATTACAACTAAAAGGTGTAGAATTTCTGCCTGCTGGATATTCATTACCTAAGGATTTGGGTCTGTGGCTAGATATTAAAAATATAGATGATGCTGGACGTTTTCAATGGTTTTGTAAGAAAAAGATTCAAGTTAATTTCAATTTCAGTGAAGATGACAATGACGATGTGAACTTTGATAGTATTTTAGATTTTGTTAAAGAATTGAATCAAGATGAACAGCCACAACTTGAAAATCCAAATTCTTCAAATGATAAACTAAAACAAAATGATCTTTCAAATCTATCAATTGATATATCAACAAAAAATATAGATAAAGGACAATCAATATCAAGAGAATATTTCCAAACATTTTTTAATCAATCAAAAGAAAGGAACAGCCATTCTGCAGAGAAAGTGACAAATAAACCATCACTTGAAACATTTATTGCTAATGAAGAAAAGTATAGAAATCAAGAGAGTAATGAGTCATTAACCAAACATCTTAGTTTTATGCAGTGGCAGAGTTTAAAAAACAGTTTGATAAAGTTGAGTGAATCATTATCTAAAAATAGGAAAATAGAAATGAAATTTAAAAAAATATGGAAGGAAAAGTGCCTTGACTGTGTGTAAATAAATGACTTGAATACTATAAAGTTGTATTAAATACATACCATATTTATTATCTCTTTATTTAACATAAATATTTACAATGTAAATGTTAGAGCACCATTTTAGATACATATTGTAATAATCTTATGTAAATTTTAAAGATCAGGTACAATTAACAAACTATAACCACAATTATGTAATAATAATGATCGGGATGTTATTAAAGTAACACTTTTATAAACATACAAACGTTTTCTTGCAACAAAAAATATAATATTGAGTTTATACATAATAGTAAATTACTTTATTTGAAATAACCATTAACAAAAGAAATGCAGATCAATGTTTTAATTAGACTATGGAGCTTTTTACATCTACAATTAGAATAGTTGATAAGCAGATATTCAACAAGTTCTTTTTAATAAAGAATATATAACTTGTTATTCCAAAGCAACATTAATCAGAGTTGAATAGGTATTAATTCCCAGTCCTGCTTGATAAATACCACAGCAATTGAGACTCATGGTTGTGGTAAAGCAAAGCAATTTTTTTTTTACAAAACACTTGTAAATGTAGTTGCAGTTACATCACTATCACGCCATATATTCGACAGTGTTTCCTTATATTTAACCCAATCCCAGTAACATTTTTATATTTGGAATGTGTTTCAAATCTGTTGGAATGTGAATTAGAAAACACCAAAATAGACATCAAAACATATATAAGTAATGAGTAAATATTTAACATACATATATATATATATATATTTAATGGGCTCAGTTCTTGCTATATCCTATTTTAATGAAACAGTTCCGTTTCATTTTTGTACATACAGCTGCATGTCAGGATACCATAATATGTCAAATTTCTCCAGTTATTTAAACTATCCTCAAAACTTAACAGATTTGTACTACCTGGTGTGCTGTTGTCTGTACATGTACTGTATTGTATTGATCAAGTTATAATAAATATAATGGAATGGAGGAATTCCCATTTTTATGCATTTTATAGAGATCTGTCAGTTTTTTCAACTCCTTATACTTTTTGTCAGGGGTAGGAACAAGAAAATGTACTTAATGCTAAATTAAGGATCAATTCACACCATAGTGAGGTCGGTGGTTTCATTGTCAATCTGATCAATAGCATTACAAAAATCATTATTAGAGAAAAAGTTTTTAGGGGTTAAATGGATGATCGAAAGTGAAACAACCAACTGCTGGCATTTCTGTACGTTTAAACGTAACAAATTGGACCTTATGTGCGCTTTTTCATTTAAATGCATTGATTGAAAAACCCTAGATATAACCGACCCGTCATTAACGGCATACAACAAACTGCTATAATTGTGCGCTAGTGCGGTTCAATGAAATAGAACCTACTTTGAAAGGTAATAAAGCTTTTATTTCATTGAAATCCTATGACGAGACAGCACTTCGTACGACGAGTTCGAGGCTGTTTTTAACAGAAAATAGCTGATCAAAAAATGGTGTTAAAAATACATAAACTTTGTCTTAAAACAAAAAGGACAAAATAGTGTGTTATAGTTGCATATATGCTTAAACCCAAAAATTATCTGTTTTATTTCAATATTTATAATAATTATAATACTCATATTGAGATGTCAGGGCATCGCAATTGGTAGTGTTTATTATACTAAGTGTATTTATTTTATTTTATTAAGTTACAAGAATTCAGTCTTAATTAAATTATATTAAGTCGATTTCGGTTAAGCAGGGATATCAAAATTTTTATATGACTTGTTGCCTTCAAATTCGGCAATGTTGTATCTAGGATTTTTCTAAATGGCATTACAAAAAGTTAAGATATCACAAAGTTTGGAAACTGGGAACAATCAATGTTATCATTAATGGCAGAAATGACTACTACATTCAAATATAAAAATTGTCAAACGGACAATGTTTAGAATATGGTTGTGTTATAAATTTAAATACTTAGTGGTTGTTATATATGTCATAAGAGGCTTCAGAAGTAGACTTATTTTCTGGAATTGGATAACTTCTGTAACCGAGCTTTTAGGCCTCCTTCTTTCTTAGGCTGTGTGAGAGATTTTCGTTCATCTTGAATTTTTTTAGCTTCTTTTAACCTGTAAAGTAAAAAAAAATATTGTTAGTAAAGCCACCTCTTATTTTTTTTTATTTAATAGGAATCATATAAATTTTACATATTTCACACTTTTAAGTCTGTTTTTATATTTGCTTCATAATTTCTCCACTCCTAAGGTCTTCCCTATGGATAGAATCGAATCAAATCGAATAAAGAATGAGAAAGTATTTAAAAAAAAAAATAGTTCCCGAAATCAAACTGGATGTCGCTACGGTACGTTCTTGATTGCTCCATGACAACCCTTCCGGTTTCCTTTCATGTTTAAAAGTAAATTAGTTTTCAAAACTCAATAAACAATACATATACTATTGGTACTTTTTCATATATCAAAGTTTCGAATTTTTCAAGTTTTATAATATGTTAGTCAAAAGGAACAGAAATGACTATCTTAGGTCCATTCGTTTCCAGCAAAAATCAACTTTTGCTAGAGTCGCCATCTAGTGGAGGTGCTTTTTGAGTGCTTTCGTTTTTTTTTAATACTTCCTCATTGGCTATTACCCACCACGCGGGTCCAATGTAGAATGGTGGGTGTGTTAATACCCAAAAATATACTATCCCCTACCTACTTAGATCTATCTCATATCAGCACTTCGAATATTACAAATATATAATAATGGTTATTATTAAAACTTACTTTTCTTTAATGGCTGTTTGTTCCTCTTTTTTATAAATATCTTTAAAGTCACTACAAAACGTTGTCCAGAGAGAAAAAAACTCTTTAGGCTCACAGTCTTCCAATTTGCCACATTTAGGAGTGTATTGATAAAACTTAATAGTTGCTATAAATTTATTACGACAATCTTCTAAGTTCTCATTTTCAGTCTTTAATTTTTCTTCAGCTGCATTTAGGAATGTTGACATTTTATCTTTGAACACGTCCAGTCTCTTTTTAGTTTCCCCGGTCGCAGATTCATCGACCAGACTCAGAGTTTGAGCGTCTGTGTCCATCACTTTTTGCGTTTTATCCTTACATGCTGAAAAAAAAAATACATCGATTTACTTTTGATTTTGTGCTTACTAATCAAGAATCGTAAGGTGAAAGCACATTTTTTTCTGAAAAATGTGTACAATGACGGATTTAGGGAAGATAGTTTCTTATACAAGCGCTTCAGCCCTTCCTACTAAAACCTAATCGCGAATCGACTTATATCTTTTGTAAACACCGCCTCTAGGAACGCATTTAGTTTGCCTAAAATATAATTCATCATTGTGTGTGCTATACCTATTAAAAAACTTATCTATAAGAAAAGTTGTACTCTATCTGGCAGGGTGAAGTGGGCTGATAATTTAAAAATACAATTAATTCTTAGCATCTTTTCATCTGGATGCCAGGGAAATTCGTGATATTTGTAAAAAAAGGTTATAACAGCTGTCAAAACTCAAGGTAATTGTGAAGCTACTTTACAAATTAATGCATGAAATCGAAGCTTTTTAAAGTTTGACTCATAGATATGAAAATAAATCTAAATGTAATTATTATATTTGATCAATTTTGGATTCACAATGCTATACTAAAGAAGGGAAAATGTAACAAGTGCTTGAAGAACTAATATTTTTTCGTATTACATGAAACGAAATGTAACAAATCATAATTGCGCCCTAATCGCATTGAGGTAGTGTAGCAAACCGTCATTTCTAGGTCCAGATCACATTCGGGTAGTTAACATAGTACTATTTAAAAATAAGTAAACTCCTTGCAATTATATCCTGACTTTATTTGAAGATTTAATTTACTGATATAAAAAGGTAAAAGATAAGGTACATTTTGAGATATATCATCACTAGACGCGTTTTTAGGACATGATTTGACATGATTCTTTGTGATTTAAGAAATATGTAGGTACATTTAATTAGTTAAAACAAGACTCAATATACGCTGCATTTAATTTAATCTTATAGTTTGTGACAGTAATAAATAAAATTTATAGTTGAATTTTGATAATAATCGACTATTTTATATTCTGAATGTAATTTACTGGTAACCCATATATTTTAATTTACAATCGCATTCAAAATGCTACTAAAAATGTCTCCAAGAAATTTTAAGCCTTAACCTATTTACAGTACAGTTCCTAATAGCGTATTTCTACTCTGTAATAATACTTGTAACTGTTTGTTCTTTATTTATTAAGAATATTTCTGTTTACTCTTATTAAAAAAAAAAAATCATAAAACAATTACTTCGGTAAAAAAAAAACACGTTTTCTTGCCTTAATAATAAATCAAAATAAAAAATAAAAATATGTATACCCGCGAAAACGTTGCCCATCACATTCATGACGTCATTATGTACACAACAGATGCATAAAGAAAAGGATTAAAAGATGTTAATAAAACAAGAAAGATGCCATCTAAGGACCGATTACAAAATAAAAAATAAATAAATAAGCTAAGAACAGCTCCATCTAGGAATTTGATTTTTAATTATTAAGCATATCTTTACGACTAATCTAACAGCCGGTGCAAGTGACATTACACAATGGCGGGTCGAGTTTCAAGTCGAGTGACACATAGACAATAAATATCAACTTTTAATTTTAAGATAATTACATAATCATTTTAAGATTCAAAATCAGAACGTCTACATAGAAAATAAACATTATGATGTGAATTTTAGTTTTTGTGCAATATCGTGACTTATTTTTTACTAAACTACCCTATTGATGTACAAAACATACCTTTTAACTGGTTGGTGAGGGCGGTGAGGTTATTTGCGACGTCGGCGAAGTCTATGGCAGCAGCTCGCGCCACGTCGCCAGGCTCGGGCACTGGCAACGCGCACTCGTCCGATAGTGCGCCGCCACACGACCGCATGTACGTGCGCACGATGAAGTGTAGCAACGTCACGTTGGACTGCTTCGACTGAATCACGTGCGAACGTATCTTTCTTACTACTAGAATATGACATCTAAGGACCTTATTCTATTTGTTCGAATGAAAATTTGAAAATTTTCTAATGTCTTCAATCGTTTTTATTAAAATCTTATCTATGCATCAGAGGCAGCGTCAGGTCCTATCTCCGTTGCTTCATAATTAACGAAAAACGGGTTTCTTTTTTAGTTTTCGAAGAAATAGAATAGGTCTTTAGAGTGGCAAGTGTGTGTTTAAGAATTCTTGGTAGTTATCGCTAGGGACGATGTTCCGGATTCCATACTAATATCTTAAAGCTCACAATCGACAGTTAACGTAAACGTCAAAAAACCAACACTTAACACTCTGGCGTACAGTTGATGAATACGACTACGTGTCCGTGTCTTCTTTTCATATATGAAATGAAATGAAATGAAAATATCTTTATTCAAATAAGCTATTACAAGCACTTTTGAATCGTCCAAAAAACTTTTTTCCCCTACCACATGTTCAGGACGTCTTTTAGCTGACAAGAAGAACAAGCGAAAGAAACTTACCAGCTTTTTATCATAAGTTATGAAATGACATTTACATAAATCATGTCATTACCAAAATAATATGTATTATCACAATAGTTAATACAACTTTCAAAGTCTCAATAGTTAATACAACTTTCAACACTCTGGCGTACAGGCGTACGACTACGTGTCCGTGTCTTCTTTTCATATAGATTTGCACGGGTTGTACACTTGGAAATGGCCTAGTCGTTACACATAGACTAGTTAACTGTTTGTCAAAGCGAATGTACTCAGAGCCGACGAAAGAGCACGCAAAGACCAGGATCGTTTTCTACAGATTTTCGATCGACATAACAAATTCGCAATTTCTAATTCGCTCGACTGAAATGTGTCGTTTAGCGAACGCTGTATACGAATGATAGAATAAACGTCAAAACGTGTGATGAATATGATGATGAAATTAATGCATAGATGACATTTATGAGCGTTTTGTTTACATTCACACTTTTTTGTATATTTAAATAAGGCAAAAATATTTTGCATACATTAATAACTAAGTTTAATATTTCGGTTCATGTTGGCGACCCTGCATTCGAACGATTCAGAAATACTAAACTACAGGGTACGACTTAGAAGTCAAGCGGTACTTAAGTCGTATACGGCAAGGAGATTTTAAACGAGTTAATCATAAATAGAGCTCTTTATTGCATCCTATTCTCTTACACTATACGTGTGAATACTTGACAACGTTGAATATCATATCTATGCTCTGTTCAAAACTAAGCTTTATAAAGTCGGACAAGTACAATCCAGTAGGAAATACACTCAAGATGACTAACTGGGCGAATATAGTCGAGAGAGAAATTATAGAATAAAAAAAATTACAATTCATTTATATTTACAACTTCTTGACATTACCTTCACATCCTTTAATTTGGATAGGATTTCCAGGCCGAATCCATCTGCTTGTCCTCTTTGGCCATTACCGCCGTTCATATAATTACCGAGAGTTAAGATTATTGCAAAAAGTTTTTTTAGACTATCATTTGTCATCAGAAACTAAAAAAAAAGTTTTATTTTAAATTATTGAAAACAAAGATACATTAGTGTAATAATAGATAATTTACCTCACAAGTGTGTTTTAAATTATCCAGTTTGTGCATAGTTGTGCTAATGGCGTCCTCAAACTCAGCTTGAAACATGAAACAAGTAATGCGTTCGGCAAAATTTGGTATTCCAGATAAATCGTGTAAGAACGCCTCTGGTTTGTCCAAGGGTACATTGGGCTTTGTTTTTAAATGTTCTTTAATCATCGCATGTTCTTCTTCGGTGGCGCGCTGTAATATTATACGTCATTATTAGACACAAATTTGAAACTGTAAATTATTGAAAAAAAATAAAATGTCTTTGACATTAATAAAAAATTCAAAACTTTACCAATTCATAGATTTGTTGTAAAGCTTCTAAACTGACGACAGATGTATCAAAATTATAAATAGCATTCTCTATTTCGGAAAACTCTACATGTAAGCTCTGAGCCAATATACCGACATTTTGAGACCTTTTGCTATCTAATATTTTCACTGGTTTTATTTTTGTTTTCACTTCTACTTTTTTCTTTACTGGAGCCTTGACCACTTGCCGCGAGAAAAGGTCAGTAAATTCTTCTATATTATCTAACTTAGCTTCATCGATTTCTAGCCAAAGTGGTTTTAAAACGTTACTATCAGATTCTCTCTGAATAGTTTGCACTGCAGAATTTGCTAATATCCTCGTCCAATATAGTGGTTTCATAGGTGCAGCTGGTTTTACTGGAGTTTTTCTTAAGGCTGGAAGTAATAATAATAAAGAGTCACGTTTTTGCTAAGAATAATTGTATAAAATCAAATTATTTTTTATTAAATAGAGATACACTTACTTGCTCGTTGCATACCCCAACCCCCAACTGGGGGTGCAGGAAATGGGACAGGTCCTGAGATAGGCGGCGGAGGAGGAACAGAATTTGGTACGTTAAGAGAAGGAGGAAATGGGACAGATCCTGGTATAGGTGGTGGTGGAGGGCCCATTCCTGGCATTGGAGGTGGGGGAGGACCCATGCCAGGCATCGGAGGTGGGGGAGGACCCATGCCAGGCATCGGAGGTGGGGCAGGACCCATGCCAGGCAAAGGAGGTGGGGGAGGACCTATGCCTGGCATAGGAGGAGGGGGAGGACCCATGCCTATCATAGGAGGCGGGGGAGGACCCATGCCTGGCATAGGAGGTGAGGGAGGACCCATGCCTGGCATAGGAGGTGGGGGAGGACCCATGCCTGGCATAGGAGGTGGGGGAGGACCCATGCCAGGCATAGGAGGTGGGGGAGGGCCCATGCTAGGCATAGGAAGTGGGGGAGGATCCATACCAGGCATAGGAGGCGGGGGAGGACCCATTTCTGGCATCGGAGGTGCAGGTGGGGCTGTTTCCGGTACGAGAGGTGGTAGTGGGTCAGTTTCCGATACAGATGATTTTGAAGGTTGGGCAATTTCTGCTTCTATATTCAATGATGGACACAGTACAGGTGTTAACGAGGAAACTATGTCGGGTAATGGTGGCGGTGGAGGAGTTACTGAAATTGTAGATGCTACTGCTTTCGTCGAAACAGAGAGTTGCTCTGTTTTAGTGATAAGTAATGGTATACTATCCGTTCCTGGCATAGGAGGCGGTGGTGGTTCCATTCCTGGTGAGGGAGGTGGCGGAGAAGGCGATGGTTGACTTGGTGATGTAATAGGAGGTAAGAGAGTAGATTCTTTTGTAGGAACTTCTGCTGGTGGGTCTATTAGACTAGATTTTTGGGTTTCATCCAACAAATTTGTACTTTCATATGGCGACTCTACGTCTGATAAGCCAATAGTAGGTTGACTAAGTTCCGACAGAATTTTATTCCCACTTGAATATAATACTTGTGTTATGGGAACTGTTGAGTTCTCTGTTAATTTTAACATTGCATTGCTGTTATTTGTCTCATCTTTAAGGCTAGTCATTAGTTCTGTTGATGTAAGTGTACTTAGAAATGATCCTTCAGAAGAACTGTCACATGGTACACAAATGCTTGTGAGCTCTGAATCATTTGAAATCTTGTCTTTTCGATCATTAGATATGCTCGAGTCTCTTGAAATACATTCATTACCTTGAAGAATATCTTCTTTATTTACGACTGAATTATAATCTCTACTTTTGTTTAACTTACAATAATTCTCAACTTTTTCAGATCTATTTTCAAATTTACTTTCTAAATCATTTATACTACTTAGAGCTAAGGTATTTTCAATATTTACATTCGTTTTTAAATGAGGGTCAGGTTTATTTATCACAGGTCTATAGGATAATTTATAAACTTCATTGCTAAAATTTGATGTTTGAACTTCTTTGTTTACCAATTCAGTTTTATTCTTAGATACCAAGTGTTGTTCAGGTATATCAAAACTTATTTCTAAATTTTTATTTAGAGCATCTATCTGAGTGCTCAGTTTGTATTTTTCTAATTGATATTCTAAATCTTGAAGCTTTCTTTTTAATTGAGATATGGCAAGTCTGGCTTCATTAATATCAGTTATTTCTTCATTATTATTTTGATTAAATTTGTTATTTTCTAACATACAATGGTTTGTTATATGTTCCTGGGATATTTGATTAATGTAATCCTTATCAGGGGGCCATGCTGTCATATGAAGCCGACCGGGTGTTACTGGCTGTGATGCAGGTACCTCCATGTGGGCCCAGTAATACATTAGATTAGGCTAAAATAAATCAAAACAATTTTAATGAACTAAAACCTTTATTACTTCTGAAGTAGTTTTTTTTAATTGAGCAACTATCTATGCTACAACCGTGTTGTTCGAATTTGAGTTTGAGGCTGTTATTAGATATTATTGCTGTATTTTAACACTGCATGTTTCTCAAGCTTTTCCTAATTATTTTTTATTACTAAATTACTTATATATAGTGGACTTGTGTTAATCTGTCAAACATTTTGCAGGGTAATATTTAATTAATCAGATTACAAAGTATTGCTAAGACTAAAATAATATCTCTATTAAAACATAATCATCACTTCTACTATGAAACTTGTAAATTATTAATGTTAGGGATTTATTGCAATCAACCAAATGTACTTGTGTACTAAAAAATTCATGTAAATATGAAAATTACAAAACTTGTTATGTACAATGAACATATTAGTGATAGGCATGTTGGATTTCAGGCAGTCCCAGTTCAGTCAGGGTCCATTTGTTTGCTTCTTGTGTTTAATTAACAAAAAAAAAGGCTACTATTTAAAACTATTATTTTAGGCCTCTTTTTGTTTTAATTAGGTTTTTTAAAGATGTGTTGCCTTTTGACTTATGAAGCATGAATTTTTCAAACAATAAATTCACATGAAATTATTTTTATAAAACATTTTCACTATTTTTATAATGACACAAAAAAGATGTCCATTAAAAAAAAACATGGTTATTACGAAGTTTTATATATAACAAAAAAAATATAATTGGTTTATGATATTAAATGCTATGAATGTAATTAAAAAAAGAATGCATTTTTCAGGGAAAATTAAATTTTTTCAAAGTGCTGAAAACACCTTAATTTTGGTTTTTAATTTCTCTAAAGTCTTGCATCAAAATTAAATCAAATATGATTGCTGACAATAGCTTTGCCTGCAGCCTCTTTAGATAAGTATATTCTATAATTTGAATTTTATATGATTTTTTTTACTAATTTATCCCTTTTATTTGATATTTATTAATTAACTAGTCTACATTCTTGCTGTTGATATCAATGATAATGAAAACAATGTTCACTCTAATTTATAACTCCTTAACCAAACACATTTCAACTTTTTTAAGGTTGTTGTCTGATCATCTATAGTCAAGATTTAAAATAAAATTAATTCTTATTCATTGAAGATGTCACAGGTCATGCATGAGAGTCATGAATTGCATGTAACATTAAAATCACACAACTAGTGATTCCAAATGAGTTCAGTAAGTTAAGAGGTTTGTACATCTTTCTGTAAATGGATTAGTGATTTGAGAAATTATATTTAGTACCTTTTATTATCAGTACTGATATAGGCATATAATAGCAAAAATAACCTAACCTACAATGTAAAGTTAAATATGTGTCGTTGTGGTTATAACCATAGGCTATGTACTTATTGGCTCACCTTGAATATGTTTTCTGAAGGTGCATCTCTATCAACTATTTGTCGTAAAACACCAGCTGCCAGCAGATGTGTGCAATACTGTATTCCGAAGTTTTTGAGATCAGACACACTTAGTATATTCTTCAAGTGATTGTTTTCAGAGATCGATGATATAAACCAGTTGAGAAGCATCTGCCCTGAAATGAGAAATTAAAAATGATTTTGATGTTTTCAGTTTTCGTAATAATAGTTACATTAATCTGTACCCTGGAATGTAAAAGTATTTTGAACTACAAACAATAGAACACATCAGGAAGGTAAAAGTTTCAAAACAAAACAACAAAAGAAAAAAGAGACTACAAAACAGTGTTGCTAAAGCAATGTCACTGTCATTTGGTCATTTGTCAAAATCAAGGGGGGGAGTAAAATTTTGAATCAAAGACCGGTTAATTATACAGCCTCAACTTATCTTTATACTTTAAATAAATAATGGATAATGTATTATTATACACTTGGGTCTTTGGATGAAGGAGTTCTGTAAATAATAAGAGCGCAGAAGAGATTGGCATACTTTTCATAACCCATAGATCATAAAATATCTAAAAACTAAGAAACTTGCGAAAATCAATAAACATTAAATTAATCCCAATACTTAAATATTGAGGGTTGAATAGTCGTTTATCTGACATTCTTAGAACGTATAAATATTTAAATGATTGCAAAACAGTACATAACAATATTTTAAATTTAGAAACCGGCCAAGTGCGAGTCGGTCTCGCCACGAAGGGTTCCGTACTGGAAATGAGGTAAACTCACGTTTATTATATGGGCTTCCATATTATTAAATATATCCCTTAAATATTTTTTGAATTTTAATATAATTATTTATTTTTTAAGTTACTATATAAATACATATTCTGTAAATATTTAAAGCTTCTACCTGTTGTCGCTATCAATATCGAGAAAAAAAAACACTTTTTTCTGTATGGGAACCCCCTTAAATATTTATTTTATTCTGATTTTTAGTATTTGAAGTTTAAGCGGCACCAGAAGTACATCATTTGTGAAAATTTCAACTGCCTAACTGTCAAGGTTCATATAATATACACCCCATGACAGTCAGACAGACAACGAGGTCTTAGTAACAGGGTTCCCGTCATACCCTTTGGGTACAGAACCCTAAAAATTAGCCTTATTATATTTGGAATAAATACTTTCTTTTTAAAATTTTAAAGTTTAAATTGTGAGGAAAAAATATATAATAAGCATTAATATTTTTTTACGAAAAAGTGACTTCCAAATTATGAACAAATGATATACCTAATAGCTTTAATTCTAAAAATTCCCGGTGTGATCTAGGGGGCGAAAATGGACGCACTTACTATAAATGGCAGTGTTAGGGGGCGCTAAATGATCATCGTACGGTACAAAATAACAGTTTTATAAAAAAATATTCAAGGTTAGACGTAAATTCGTCTTATTGACTCCCAAGTAACATTATATTTTATAACTTAGGCGTTTAGTATAGTAGCGATTGTGACTGAGTGTACTTTTACGGTTTTCAACAAAGCAATTTGATTCTATAATATTAAAGAGCATTTCAGTTGCATAATTTAACTCTTAAAACATTTGTAGGACTATACTTAAAAGTCTTCAAAGTGTTGCACTGTAGTAGATGTAACAAAAATAGTTATAGTACTATTTAGTACAAAAGACGATTTTAATGATTTTTTTTATAAATTTATTTTGCATTAATAGTGCGTCAAAATTATTTTTATAGTACCAGGACTTGGCAGCATTAAAAAATCTTATTTAGGATCAATTTGCGCCGTAAAAGTATCTTGTACAACTTTTATGCAATTCTTTAGTTTTTAAGAAACTCGCCACATTTCTATTAGGATTAGTTTTGTAAACATCATAGAATCACTTCTATAGAGCTGGTCCCATAGAGATTATTTATGTATTTGCTAAATCATTTTAATTTTAATTGCTCTATAACTGCGTTTGTTAATACTGTTTCAAGACTAAAGAGTGAAATAAAAGTACTTTAATTAATAATTACCAATTACACCTATAGTTAACCTTTTAGCACAGTAAAGTTTTTACTAAGATCTCTAAAAATCAACAAAACAATAACCCATCAAATGCCAAACTACTTGGACAAATAAAATAAAACTAAAGACCAGTTTTTGTTTAAGAACAGAAAATACATGCAAAAAAGAAAAAAAAGTGTTTCCCAGGTCCATCCCAGGCCCACCAGTAAAAATGTATGATATCTAGCTGTACTGGTGTTACCCAAAACCATATGCGAAAAATGTAACGCATATCCCTTATTACATTAAACAAAATAAGTAATCGTTTTAGAGAATATCATAATAAAAAAATTAAACATATAATTTTATTGTCTTAAATTTTGAATGTAACCATATTATTACTCGGTTATATTTCAATTTGAAAAAAAGAAATATAATTAATATTAGCATATACACCTACTTACATCACACTTTTTACTTTTAGTGCATAATGTAGGGGAGACCGAGGAGATTTGAAACAAAGGTGAGTTGAAACAGTACCAATTTCTCGGAACTTAAAACCGTTAGCGGGTTAGCAACTTCGCCTTATAACTATTTTTCTCCGCCCGTCGTGCTGGGAGCTCACGTCGGAGGTGTGCCTCGCGCGGTTGTGGAGTTCTGTCAGCCGTATGTCAAAAATCGTGAAAAGTAAGTTTTTTAGGCTTTGTTATGATGTTTATATTTTTATATAGGTTTTGTATTTTGATTTAAGTTATATGTGTTTCGAAAGCTCTTTAACTAAAGATTCATTGTATATGTTTGGTACAGTTGATTTCTATGTATTTGCTTCTTCATTGTAGATTAAATAAAAATGAGAGGTTTTATTTCTACTGAGGAGATTTGAAACAGACTGTTTCAACTCTCCTCGGTCTCCTCTACATAGATAACATGAGATATTGGAAATTGGCTGCAAAGCAGACAAATGCCACAGCATACACTTCACGAATGTTGCACACAGCATGACGGGTAGTAACGCTCCTAATGAATGTCTATGATAACTTAATTTATTTATTTTGTTTTAGAATGCCAACTTATTATAAGAGAAAGACTGACAGGGGTATGGCAAGTCGCGAAATATATGATCTCGCAGCAGAAGAAGTAATTATGCGCCAGAAAAGTCTCCGTGACGCGGTTTCGAGTTATAATCTGAACCATACATCTCTCTGCAGGTATATTAAAAAAAAATCTTATGAAGGCAACAAAACGGCAACTGCTCTTAAAGTTGGATATCCTGAAAAGACTGTTTTTATTGCTTCAGAGGAGAAGGCAATCTTTTAAACTGCGCTGCTGTTAACTTTCGCCTAAGAACTAAAGAAGCCAGAACTTTTGCCTATAAATTGGCTGTAAATATAATATATAAAAAATATAATAAAAAAACCCCTTCTGCTTGGACTGCTCATGAAATGGCTGGAAAGGTTTGGCTTCGATCATTTATGAAACGGCATCCTGTTCTTTCACTTAGACTACCTCAATCTACAACTATCGCTCGAGCTACAAGTTTAGCAGATCAAATGAACAACTTTTTTTCCAAAATTATACTACAGGGTTACAAGGGAAGGATATATGGTAAGTTGATGAATCAGGTATCACAACAGTTCAGAAACCAGACCGCATCATTGTAATACTTAAGAAATTACTGAAAATTAATAGCTATTGTATGTTAAAGATTGAGGAAGATCCTTTTTATTTAAGTTGAAGGTGTAATTAACTCATTTAAGAGTTAAATATATTTATGAGACCTGTAGTTACATACTTGACTGATATATCACTACAAAATCCTTATATTAAAAGTTGTTACATACTAAAAAAGTTTTATTTGAATAAATACCTTGAAATTATATAATAATTTTTATTTTACATCCCTTAATGCTTCTCAAAAATCATATGTTTCAACTCTCCTCGTCCCCTGTTTCATCTTACCTCGGTATGAGGAGAGTTGAAACAAATTGACTTGTTACGGTTAATTCGATGTCTACCACAATATTTAACGTTTACAACTACTTTACGTTAGTCATTCGCAAGTGTAAATAATTACCTTTCGTTTGGTACTAATATCATACGATTTCTGTATATAGTATTTGATGTATGAAATGAAATGTCAAAATTGTTTCAACTCTCCTCGGTCTCCCCTACGCTGTAAATAAAGAATTAAGTAGACTACATAATAATATATCGGGCTAATCAGATATATTATTTTTCTAGACAATACCGTACCTCATTATAAAAGGGTTAAACTATGGTAGCTGCTGTTTTGTGTCATCATAACACATTAAAAGGCACGGTAGTAATATAAATTTAATTAATATAAATTCGATATTGATGAGCGATATCGCAGCGCTCCCGGATAAAATGTATGAAGAATCGCACGTGTTTAGTCGTGACAGGACATAGGCAAAAAAGGACAGGACACGAAAGGAAAGGAAAGGACAGGAGAGGAGAAGAGATGAGTAAGTAGAGCACTCACCCAGATTAAGAAAGGTCGTGGGTTTGAGTCCCATCTCGGGGTACCTGGGACTGGTGGACTTTTTAAATATTTTTTATTGAGAATATTTTCCAGTATAGCATTGTGAAAGCAAAATATATTAAATATAATAATTACAACATGCAAGTTAAATGAGGAATGATTTGATATATTGAATTGTCACGAGCAAAGATTGAACCAACGTGGAGGCTATGGCTCATCCTGTTTAACCATCCATAAGGAAGAATTGTCCCTGCTCAATTATCTCTTCTCTCTTCAGTAAAGATGCTATCCAACTATGTATATTGCTTACCAAAATTTAAATATGCTCACTAATCAAACTAATCAACATATATATGAGCATTTTTGCTGCCCAATTGTATATAATCTTGCTGCCCAAATAATTATATTGCGGCGTGACTGTTTATTTTGCTGCTATCTACATATTAAAATATGCTGCCTATTTATGTTGAGATTTCTGACCATTATCATGATTGTTTTCAGAACGAGAATAGCAATCTGCTTTAATATTACTAGACGGCAACTCTAGCAAAAGTTGAATTTTGCAGGAAACGAATGGACCAGACAGTCATTTCCGTTACTTTTAACTAATATACTTATTAAAAAACTGAAATAAAAAAAAAATCGAAACATAGATATCAATACAAATACGAAAAAGTACAAATAGAATATGAGTTGTTTATTGAGTTTTGAAAACTAATTTACTTTTAAACTTGAAAAAAACCGGAAAAGTTGTCATGGAGAAATCAGGAACCTACGCGACGTCTAGTTTCATTTCGGGAACTATTTTTTTTTAATACTTCCTCAGACTGTTTCTTGTTTGTTTCTTTTAACGAACTAACCGAATTGATAAATGGCGTATGCCAATTAATTATGTACTTCTCTTTACGTAAGTTGCCAATCAATATTACTTATTCGTTACTTACGGCATTTGTAAGATATTATGGACATTTGTAAGATCTATATATGAACTGTGCTTCTATTGTGAATTGTGATCCATATCCTACAGCACTGATGACCTTGGTTACGCACGGCCGATCGACAGTAAGTTTACCTACTTAAACGGCGGAAAAAAAACATGTGTCTACAACTGCGCTAAGGGTTTATCTCTTTTTCTATAGGAATATTGAAGGTGATCGTAGCCCTTTGCCAATGGTGAGTCTATTCATTTCCTGAGCGTAAGGTTCTAAGGTCAATTATTTCTTTAAACCGTTTCTGTTTCTAGGTTTCTGTTAGGACTGTAATATTCGCTTTCATAATAGTTCCTTTCTTGAAACCTCTGCCCACTCTTCTGGTTTTATTGTCTAAACTTTATTTCTTACTGTTTTGACGACATGTCTTTCAACAGATTTGCAATTATCTTATAAATCAATAACTATGATATGACCAGAGAGTATGATTTCGTTTCTGCTACAGTATCGTTATCTACACTGCATTGTTACTGGTCGACTAGCAGATATTACCAAATGGCATTAAGTCCCACCCTATTTTCATCAAGATGCTAAGAGAAAATTACAGTATACATATATGTCTGCTTCCATAATCTCTCTGTTCACTATATAACTTTAACTTATATTACGAATGTTTTTATTTATTTTATGGAACTTTCTTGAAATCCGACGATATACTTGTACATAGTAAGGTACATAGTAAGGTAAGTAATCGACTAGCAGCCTAATATCAAATTCAACCAAAATAGGATAGAAGCTAATTTAAAAAGTCCAAGCATTGGTTAGAGTTGTATGGTCTAGTTATAAGTATTATCAGGTAGGTACAGCGTAAGATCTGCAATGTGACCAAGTGTGTGTCTCAATTATACAAGGCAAATTACTTACATTGATAAGAATTTTTTTTTATGGCTATGAGGTAATCCATCAAAGTAAATATATAAACACTTTTCACATTGTACTTCATTGTAACTATGCCGGTTCTTAGATCACATTCAACTTTAATCTTGCGACGTTCATCATTCACAATAACTATGACAGATTTCGACCACCGTACTGGTTTGTGTAACGTAAAATTTAATTTCCTTTGAGGCACGATCACTAAAGCGCGTCTCTTCAATCTTCTTGACGCGGAACGATGTCTCCGTGATGCTGACACCAGTCCAGTATTTATTGAAGTGATTTCGTCGCTGTGCAATCCTAATATCGTCACTATGTCTTGCACGCCTTTCTCAGGGCAACTATGTTGACCGAAGAATTTAACATAGTTAAAGTGTGCTATTGAAGAATTAGTAAAGTTAACACGACTCGTTGCGAATTGCATGTTTGTAACGTAACTAATTTAACCGAATTGTAAGTCACGTATACACCAGTCGTTAATGATGACTCCTATCTGATTAATGGTGATAAGAATTAGGGAGCTGTAATAGCTGATAGCAAACAAATGATAGGCATTCTTATCGCAATAATGTCTGTTGAAGTTTGAGGCGCCACGCGCGAAAAAAAAATTTTTTTAACAGATTTTTCATAGATACAGTGATAAGATATTCAAATTTGACCCAAAGATACTCTTGGGAGCATACCAAGCCATAGGGAAGCGTGGTCAGACAAAGCAGCTACCTAGTATAATATCCCAAATATCTATTATTGTATGAAGTCGAATCCGCATTGGGCCAGCGTGGAGGGTCGTGGCCCATCCTCCTTAACCATCCATAAGGAAGGAAGGCCTGAGCCCCTGTAGTGGGGACGTAAAAGGGCTGGTGATGATGATGAAGTCGAAGATAAAGATCAATTGAATCGATTTCTATAGTAGCTACATCGGAGAACTAGAGAACCATCACTTCGAAGGCTGAAAATTATGTCTACTCAATACCAACATAAATTATCTAATTTTACCATAAAAAAAAACATTATATATCGAGTCGTGTATCTAAAAAATATGGCACATTAAACGTTTTTTGGCTAGCCTTCCGATTCTATCGCAGATGCGGTATATATTTTGTACCAGCAAACCTTTCCTCATTGGCTTCTACATTTACATATTGTACATCAAAATTTTTACTGCATGTCAATGAGAAATATAAGACATTTTAGTAAACATTCTTCCTAAATTTACTAAAAGGGTTTAGCCGGATACGTATGACGAGTCGGCCCCCAAATGGGAATCGATATTGAAACTTATGTTTTAATATAGACTTGATGTTCAAACACGATTTATGTACTTTTCGCGACCGACTTCCGCTTTGACCTTGAGATAGAGAGCAAAATATCCGTATGCTTGACTATTACTAAATGTGATATATCTCTAAAGCTAATTAAGATAAAGAAGTGAAACTAACGCGAGGTGTTAGGTTACATTACAGAGTATATCACATTATTTTTTTATAATTTTTAGAATAAAAAATTACATTAAAAAAATAAAAAATAAAAAAATCATGTTTTTTTTTCTGAGTTCTCTGTGACTTACAATCACGAAATTAATATATGTTATGCTCCTTTGTGTGCTCTATCACCCATAAAATTGCGTGAAAAAAAAGTTGGTGCAACACAACGAAAAAAATTATATGTGATTCGCGCCTTGTAGTGTGAGTGTATAAACAAACAAGTTCGAACTTGTTATCGCGCTGTTTACTCCATCGTTTGTTTAGCTAAAGTCGCAGTCATTTGTATTACACAAGAAGGCAGTTTGGGACTCAAATTCTGTCATAGGTATTTTGTATCAGCATTTTGAAATTATTAACTATCGAACCAAATCATTATTAAGTAATAATGTCGAGAAAGTGTAAAAATTGTAACAAGTACCTGTGTAAGATTCCTGGTTATAAAAAAATTATAAAGAATGAAGAAGAAGCTAAAGTGTTTTGTGACTGTTTGAATAAAATCGTAATAGTTAATGATATTTTTGTAAGAAGTGTCGACTTATCCCATATATTAACAAAAAAGCGTCTACTTCTAAATGTGCAGTATTTAACTTGGCCGAAATAATGGACGATCAAAATAATCTCTCAGTACAATATGTGAAATCAGCACCTCATATCATCAAAGCAGAAGTAAACTCAAGACATATATATAGAAAAGTCTATCGAATTTACATTCACTATATTTCCGAAGGTAATGACTACAATAGTATTCTTCGTTATGCTGTGATTGCCCCAATGGCAAACGTACAGTGGGATGCTGTTCTCATGTAGCAGCTATTATTTATTATCTATCATATGGATGATATTTGTCCAAAATCGTACGTCCTGCTGAGGTCCTAACTAAGTTATTCGCGACTCAAAGTGTTCCGATTGTAATTAATTACAACAGTGACGATGATTAATATTTTGTTTCTTGTATTTTGATAGACACGAAAAAGTAATAATAATAAGTATTGAACACTGGCTGTTTTTTTTTTCATTTCTTTTTTAACTATTATCCCATCTCTTAAGACTATTTACTTATGTTTTAAACAAGCTGATGTGAAATTTCGAAAAAAAAACAATGATATAAGTGAAAACCTTAAAATACAGGGGTATACATAAGACAGAAATCACATATAATTTTTTTTCATTGTGTTGCACCAACTTTTTTTTCACGCAATTTTTATGGGTAATAGAGCACACAAAGGAGCATAACATATATTAATTTCGTGATTGTAAGTCACAGAGAACTCAGAAAAAAAACATGATTTTTTTATTTTTTATTTTTTTAATGTAATTTTTTATGCTAAAAATTTAAAAAAATATATGTGATATACTCTGTAATGTACCTAACACCTCGCGTTAGTTTCACTTCTTTATCTTAATTAGCTTTAGAGATATATCACATACAGTAATAGTCAAGCATACGGATATTTTGCTCTCTATCTCAAGGTCAAAGCGGAAGTCGGTCGCGAAAAGTACATAAATCGTGTTTGAACATCCAGTCGATGTTAAAACATAAGTTTCGATATCGATTCCCATTTGGGGCCGACTCGTCATACGTATCCGGCTAAACCCTTTTAGACCAGTATCATCACTTCGAAATATTATACTTATACATTGTTAAATATAATGTTCTAGTTTCCCTGTGTTATTCTTATTTTGGTCATAATTAAATTCTAAAGCTTTCAAGGAAGATTCCTTTATATAGTATTTTTTACCTTCAAACTTCTCGTAGAGTTGGAAGTCAAGTTTCTCAGGCACGAAGCGCGGTCGCACCACCTTGGCATCGGTATGTTTGTCCAGAGTAAGCGATGCTACCTTCCGTAACACGTTCGATTCGCCCATGGACGCTTCACTGGATATACTAGAGTGACGTCGATCTTTTTCTGAAACATAGGTTATGTGATTTTAAAGGTTGTAACAGACGGTTAAGATGCTATAATACGATATAAAATATAGCTTGCCATACATTCCAATGGCTCAACACACACGGCTGAGAAAATATAATATTTTCATATTAAGTATCTTAAGATACCAAGCGATACGGAAATGAATTATAGCATTTACATAAATTATCGCATATCTTAACCATGTGTGATAGCTTAAGATGTTAAAAAATAGAACCGTCTTTACATTTAAACAAGTGAAAAATAAAACTTAAATTGAAAGTCAGTACTATTTTTTTAAGCTTTTATTTCATTCTTTTTAGAGATATTGATATTTTTATATAACAGGTAACACTAAAATTACTTTTCTGAAAACTACGTCAAAATCGGTTCAGCCAAATGCGAGATAATCGCCCACAAACATTACATACATACATGTCAAACTAAGAACCTCCTTTTTTGAAGTCGGTTAATTAAACTAGGCATAAAATAGGTAGGTTCTTAACCGTGTTTGATGAATCTTTTTTATGAAAATTACATAAATACGAAAATCTCTAAAATTATGATGTCGACTATAATTATATTTTTGTATTTTATTTACGATTATTATTTATGCTATTTTAAGTCATGAATACTGAGATTATTGTTTGGACTATTATAAGAAATTAAGATTGAAATGTTAAAATACATAATTTTTATGATTTTGCTGACAGTGTGATAAGCAAATAAATATAGTTGTAATAATATGCAATTAACTGTAGCTTACTCGTATTTTGGCTAAAACCTTGAATTATCTAAATAAACATTACGCTAATGAGATAAAATAACAATCAACTGTATTATTCGTTAGTCAGTGTCAATTATACGTTTTTAGCTACCTACTATATACATATATTATACATAGACAGGACAGGACTAAATATAATTTTATATAGGGTAGTTTGTGTAACAGAAATGCTGTCATTGTCAAGTGAAACATAAGTATGCTATAAATATTTGTAAGACCTAAGTACATAAATCTGATACTTTATCTACGTTTACATTGTAGTGTTTTCAAATAAGTGGAAACGGTTTGATAACAGGCTTAGTTGATCTCTGATTTTGAAACTAGTTATAACTTTTTATTTAATTTTATTGATAGGTGCTTTCACTGTTTGTTTTGTTTTGGATCTAGATATCAAGTTACATTTATCTGCTGTCACCTAGTTGCACAAACGTCTTTTAAAATTGGCATTAAAGCGAGGTTACAAATTTTCAAATTTGGAACATTCATTAGAGCTCGTCGGAAGTCACCATTATGGCTCAATGGACGTATCAACTGAGTATCTTTTTTTGTTTGCATTAAATAAGTTTCGAAACGACTGAACCGTTTTCATTTTTTTTTCGTCTACGGTACGTAACGTAATACGCAGATGATCTAGCCTATAATTTACTTTGGCGAAATCGCGGGAAAACAGCTTGTAATATATAACGGTATTAGTTGTAATGTAACCTTTTTTACATTCAAATGAGTACTTATATATTAAACTAGTGGCTGCCAGCGACTTCGTCCGCGTTTTCCATTATTTCTTCGCTCTTAATAGTTGCAGCGTGATGTTATTATAGCCTAAAGCCTTCCTCGTTAAATGGTCTATTCAACACAAAAATAATTTTTCAATTCGAACCAGTAGTTCCTGAGATTAGCGCGTTCAAACAAACAAACAAACTCTTCAGCTTTATAATATTAGTATAGAGTAGATAATTAAGTATTTTTACAAGAAAGTATTTCTACAACGTTTAATGATTACATATGATTAAGTCTCATTAGATGATTTTGTTCTTGCAATAGCTTCGTCGTGACGTGTGATGAAATAAAACACTTCTAAACAAGTTTCGTCTCAAGTCCGTTCTTCAAAAGATTTTATTTCAAGGCAATAAGTTTCATTTTGAATAAAAAGTCTTATTATTGTGCGTGAAATGTAGAGTATGCATCAACAAACTGGTTTCGATACAATTGTGGTAGGTACCTAATTAAACAAGCAACAGGTACTTTT